GAGCTCTTCTCACATAGAAGGTAGATGCCAGCTAGAATAGTAGCTCGAGGCATCAATAATTCATTGAGATACGTATTCCCTGATAGTCGTCAGAATCCGATGATCGGATCCGCACCGTCAGATTTCGATGATCGAATCCGCATAGGCGAATTGCGAGTTCACGTCTTGCGTCACTAGCTAGCTAAGGTTAGCGGTTTAGACGTACACGAAGAATTCAGCAGATTCGACGAGTTCGACGAATACAACGAATACAACGAAATCAACGAATTCATGAGCTTCTACGGCGCCTCACGTAGATCAGCCCGTTTTTTGCAATGGCTGGTCCGACCTCATACGTCACGGCAAATTGCCGGCCCGATTCCCAGGCTCCTTACTTCGGGGACTTCTAAAACGCACCAGATCGCATCGCGATCTTATGTTCCTTTCTTACCAAGCCTCGATCGGATCAGATCGTATCCAAACGAACGTGGACAAAACGCGTCTTTTCAACTCCGAAACCAAGGCCAAAACTTTGAGGCGCCTCAAAATACGGTTTCATTCCACGGCCGAATCTTCGTGGCGTGGTCAGCCGCTGCTGCGGCTTCTAAGCGAGTAGACACAGAAGCTTCCGAGGAAGAGACTGTTATCTCTGGGTCGGGATTGATTACCAAAAGCAAGCCTCTAGTAGCAGTGCAAGCAGAGCTTAAAACGCGTTCAGTGAAGGACGAGCAGAGGGGAGGTGGGAGAGGAGGGCAGAGGAGAGTCAGGAAAGTGGAAGGGGAAGAAAAGGGAGGTGGGGATGGGAGGGTGGAGAAGGTAGTAGCGGGAAATGGAGCGGGGAAGCGTGAGGGAGGCAAGCGGAAGATCTACGGGAGGAAAGGCTGCAAGGAGGAGGAGGAGGCAGTGGCAGTGATTGCTGGAGTGCTGAGGAAGAGATTCGGGTCTCAGATTGTTAGAGGGGAGTTGGAGGGGTGGGAGAGTGATATAAGTAGCAGTGGGGAAAGATTGGTCATGGGAACAGTGAAAGAGGCGGAAGAGGAAGAGGGGGAAACCGAGGAGGAGGAAGAGGAGGAGGAGGAGGGTGTAGAAGGATATGGGGAGGAAAAAGAAGAAGCAGAAGCGAGTGAGGAGGACGCAGCTGGCGCCACATCTCCTCTCACACCCCTTCCTTCTCCACTCAAGTGCCGGCGGGTCGTATCTCCCTCCTCCCTCCTCTCCCTCTACCGCTTCTTCTCCTCCCACCTCGGCATCTCCTCCCCTTCAACTGTCGCTTCCCTCCTCATCTCTAAGCCCCAACTCCTACGCTCCAATCCCACCAATGACCTCCTGCCACGTGTCTGTCTCCTCCAGTCATACGGCATATCTCATGCCGACATTGCCTTCATCACTGAGAAAAATCCAGCCTGGCTTCGAGTCCCTCTTCCACGGATGCAAAACACCCTTGAGTTTCTCTTGTCTCAAGGCGTCCGCCGTAGCAGATTGGGCTTGGTCCTCCGACGTGCACGAAGCTTGATCTGCAAAGAGGCACGTTCAACGAACCTGGACATTCTGGTGGAGAAAGCAGGGGTTCCTGTGGACAAGCTGGGTGTGATTATAGAGAGATGTCCGGACATCTTGACTCGGAGCAAAGAGGCGGTGAATACACAGCTTGAGACGTTATCAACCTATATCAGAGCAAGATCTGGAGGGAAGGTAGAAGCAGATAGCACCAGCACAACCCTCCTTAAGCAGCAACTAGATGAGCCGCGGTCCTTGACTTCCCCAGACAACCCCTCCATTGCGACCTCTGTGCTTTGGCAGGGCCCCACCATCTTCAATCTTAGCACAGAGACTCTCTTAGCTAAGCTCCAGTTCTTTGTGGAGCTGGTGGGGGAGGAGGCAACAGGAAAAGTGGCGAGGAGTTACGCGAAGGTTTTGAAACTATCAAAGGAGAATGTGCAAGGGAAGATGGCGGTATTGGCTGATTTGATTGGCCGAGAGAATGCTGTGCGGGCGGTGGCACAATTTCCTCTGCTAGTAGCTTCTAGTGAAAATGGCATGAAGGAAAGTTTCAGAGAGCTTGTGCGAGAAGTGGAAGAGGCATTGGAGAGCAGTGGAGAAGAGGGAATTGGGACGCAAAGGTTGGGGGAGGGTGATAGAGGTAATTGTTTGGAAGGGGAAATGCTATTTCGAGCACAAAGTGTTGAGAGATGCAGGGCTCGTCGGTTGGTGGTGGATTTGGTTATGAAGTACCCGTCGTCTATCCATTACAGTTGGAAAACGAACCTGAAGCCCAAGGTGGAGTACTTAAAAAGGGACATGGGGCTCTCTATAGTGGAGGTGCTTCCCTTTCCTCACTTTCTTGGGTACAGTTTGGATCGGCGAATCAGACCGCGACATGTGGCGCTGGTGCGAATGGGCTATGCGGTCGTGGCACACAAGATGGCTATTCGGGCGAGTGGAGGCAAGAGGAATGTTGCGATTGCAGCTGGGAAAGGGAGGAGCAAGCTGGGTTGTGTGTCTGACGAAGTGGAGGGAGTAGAGGGGATTGAATGGGGAGTGGAAGAAGCGAAGAGTGGGCCGTTATTTGGGGTTGTTGCAGCCTGTGATGAGCTAGGGGAGAGAGCTTTTACGGAGCAGCAGCTTCTGGATTTGGAGGGGTCGAAGAAAAGGGTGTGCTTGCAGCAGTTTCTCCACTTCACAGACAAGAAGTTTGAGGAGAAGTTTGGGGTCAAACTGTAGGGCTGGTGCTGATAGCCTTCAAAGGCTTCCATGTGCCCCGGGCCTCAGTCCATGCCTGAGTGTGAGGGTGTGCGCCAATGCCTGAGCCCTTGCCAGCACACCATGAATCTCTATCTGTCAGGCGGCCAGGTGTTAATGCCACAGCATTATTGCTGGGTCCTTTGTTGCCGCCCGATGGGACTGGAGGGGTTTTGGCTGCTACAGCTGCCACTGCTACAGCTGCCACTGCTACAGATGCCTCTGCTACAGCTGCCTCTGCTACAGCTGCCTCTGCTACAGCTGCCTCTGCTCCAGCCGCTGCAGCCCTCCCCCTGCTGGACCTGCTACATCTGTTCCTGTGGGTGGCGGTATCCCCATCTGTAGCAGAGGAGCTGCTGTTCAGAGGGCTGCTGCTCACGGCCCTGCAAGAGAGGCTTGGCAGGTGAGAGGCTTGGCAGGAGGCTCGGTAGTGAGGTTTGGCACCACCTTCTTTTTGAGTCCAATGGTTCCTCCATTGCCATAGCCCACGCTCTCTTTCATCAATCCAATGTCACTCTTTCCTTCCTATCTTCACGCGCATTATATCGTCTCCCCTGTCTCCTTCCCCTCCTTTCCTCCCTGCACTATCCCCTTCCATGCCTCTCTCTCCCTCAGGATGGTTGCTTTGCTGCCATGCTCTCTGCAGCCCTCTTCGCCCTCTTCCACCTCTCCCTCCTCTTCAGTTTTTTGTGGGGCAGGTAGGGGAGAAAGCAGCAGGGAGAGTGGGGAGCAGCTGCCGCAGGTTCTGCAACTGTTGAAGGAGAATATGCAAGGCAGGGTGGCAGTATTGGTTGATTTTTTTAGGAGAGAATTCTGTGCGGGTGGTGGCATTCCTTTGTTCCTATCTTCTAGTGAAGACAACATGAACAGTTTCAGCTTGTGAAAATAACATGAACAGTTTATACCTCTCTGCCTATGCCATCTGAAAGGTCCCACGAGTCAGCAATTAATGACCTCATCAGGGTTCAGGATAGGTTCACTAAGCAGCTATTGCATGAGTATAGGTATACTGTCATTCATCCCGTATGGACCATAGGGAGCCAGTTTTCAGCCAAGCTATTTAAATGACATCAATCAGAGCCATAAATTGCTCAAATTTGAATGTTTGAAAGGTATTTTGTAGGTGTTCCAGAAACGAATCTGAATCAGGTAGATTTGTGAAGTGATGTGGAGAATGTACCCACCTTTTATTTCTTAGAGCAGGATAATGCGTGGTATATTTTATGCAGCTGACAGTATGTATCACAAGTATCAGGCGCCAAAGCGACTTCACTAGGGGAATTGTAGTATTTCGAGGCCCCAGGAGAGGAGAGCAGGAGCGGGAGAGTAGGATGAGGAAGTAGGCTTGGTTGGGCTGTACGGCGATTAGACCTGCGCGTGGCATTAGTAGCACTAATAACGCCTCTTCTCCTGTTGTACGTTACGTGCATGTCGGGCAGCACCGCCTTTTCCTCACTCATTTGGCCATGTTTATGGTTGCTCAGAGATAAGAGAGCTATGCAGTTGCTTGCAGTTTCTGCGATTAGCGTTTCTTGCGATAGCTGGCACCACCCGTTGAAGGTTTCTTCGCGAAGATAGTTCTTTCAGGAAATCATGAGACGAAGTTTCTAGTAGTGTTCAAGCAATCTTACGGAGTAAGAACCTGAAACAAGAGATTATTAACGATGTGGAGCCGTAAGCGAAAGCCGCGACTGGCGAAGATCGAAGACGAGTTTCCCGCTAGTGAAGGGGACCGAAGCATCCAGGAAACCGACCCGTCCGTGACGTCATCCCTAGAAGGTGGCTCGCCAGCGGCGGCATCTGCAGCAACAGCTGCGGCACAGTCGTCCCAATCAGCATTAGAAGCATCCGCAGCAGCCGCAGCCGCAGCTGCAGCAGCAAGAGCAGCAGCTTTAACAGCAGCTTCAGCAGCAGCCGCAGGAACAGCTTCAGCAGTAGTGGTGCCAGCAGCGACGCGTATTACTCCAGTGAACCCAGCAATTCCACCAGTGTCCGGGGCGGAACGAGGCGGGGATAGAGCAGACGCCGATTTAGAATCCCCGAATCCAGCAGTTCGATTCGCGGAGATTCAAGACACAGATCACGCTGCTGGATTCCGAGATTCTGCGTTCGACGATTCTGGTGCGAGGGTTTTGGAAGAAGAGGGCGAGATTGGTAGCAGCAGGAGGTTTGTAGATTCCACAACTGGCGAAGGAGGAGGAGATGGGCAGGAGCCTGAAGCAGGATCTTCTTCCGCTGCAGCTCCTGCTGATGCCGATGTTGCTCCTGCTGGTTCCGAATTTATGCAAGAAACCGTTCGTTACGTTCCCCTGGCTTTTGATATAGTCACATCCGGCTTGGAAGACGAGCTCAGCGTGCTGGAGCGTCTAGTGGCGAACCATTTGATATTGTCACAATTCGAGCTCGCCAGAGCGGCTATCAGGGACCTTGCACGACTCAGCCCTGCCCGTGCGATTTCTCTGCTGAGGAATGTGATTGTAACGGGGGGAGAGATTCCTGGGGCTGTGTGGTCGGCATCTGTCCCGTCTGCCGCCCATCTGACGTGGCTGTGCGTTGGGGAATACCGAGAGCTGTGTAAGGTGCAGGGGGAGAGGCGAGAGAGAGGCGATTGGGTGAGCGGAGAGAGGGAAGAGAGGGGAGAGAGGGGTAACTGGGTGAGGGGAGAGAGGAGAGAGAGGGGAGAGGGAGATGACTGGGTGAGGGGAGCAGAGAGAGGAGGCTCTGAAAGAGGTGATTGGACGGCGGCTGCTGCAGCTGATGAGGAGGGACAGGGAGAGGATCAGGAGGGGGAGGAGGAGGGAGGACACGGGGATAGGATGGGGGAAGAGGAAGGAGAGGAGCGAGGAGGGAGGGACACAGGCGAGGGGTCGGAGGAGGAGAGAGTGATGGTGGATGAAGCTGAATTCGACTTGTATCTGGCCCAGCTCTCACTCAAGGTGCATGAATCTGCATTCTCACAAAGAGTGGATCATCCTGTAATGCGTACAGGAGAGCAGAAGGAATCATCTGGAGCAGGTAGAGGAGTGCAAGAGCGAGAAAGGGAGGAGGGAGGAGAGACGGAGAGAGAAGGGAAGGAGAGAGAAGAGGAGGCTTTGAGGAGAGGGGAGAAGATTCGTGCAGCAGTCACACTGCTTCATGACCGATCAGTCTGGGGCCTTCCCAGTATACCCCTGGTGGTGGGGAGTAGGCTTAGTGTCAGTGAGATAGGGGAAGAGGCGAAAGAGGTAGTGCTGGCAGGGTCAGCAGGGGCAACTGAGTCAGTAAGGGCAGCAGTGGTTGAAGAGAGAGGGGAAGCAGCAGCGGAGCAGGGACAAGGGCATGTTGAATCAATCATCCCTGATGCGACACCTGTCGGCATCTCATTGGTTGTTGGAGAATACCCTGAGATCCTGGACGAGCTTTCCAGGAACGTTCTGCGCCAGAGACGGAGGAGGAGGAGGAGGAGGTCGACGTCAGGACCTGAGAGGCTTGAAAGCGAGGGTGATTTACCCTCACAAGCCTGGCCAGAAGGAGTGCTTGCTGTGAGATGGGTGCAGGAGGCTCATCTGGGGGCGGTGACTTCTATGCTAGAGGCGGGGGACGTGCAGGGAGCAGCGGGTCGCCTGCGGTACCTGAATGTGGAGTATGGGGTTTTGGAAGAGGCACAGTACAGGTGAGCATGCGATGCTTCAATGTACCTTGAGACATATTAGGGAAGAAGGGGGGGGCGTGAAGGGAGCATCGTGTTATCTGCTGTACCTGAACGTGGAGTATGAGGCTGTGGAGGAGGAACGGTTCAGGTGACCTCGACTCACTCACGTACATGTGAAATTGAGTGTCGCGTACGCATGACAAATGCATAGAGATTGAGATGCCCCAAGCTGGAGTATGGGGTTGTGGACGCGCAGCGGTACAGGTGAGTGAGCATACGATTCGATGCATTGAGATGCACTTCTCGGGTGAGCGCAGCATTCATGCGTTGAGTTGAGAGATGCGTCGGAGCTTTTAACAAATTGACTTTTGAGTCGACTCAAAAGTCACCTCGAGTTGAGAGTTGCGTTGGATCTTACACGGATTCCTCCCTTCACCAGTCTGCCTTTGCACTGCGCCCTCACATGCCCCAACCAGACTTCCGAGTCGACTCAAAAGTATAACTGAGGTGAACTCACCTTCACTGCTTTACTTCCTCCCCTTCACCACCTTTCCTTCAGGTCCGCCCTGCACCAGTTAGTGCTTGCACTGCCCCCCCCCCCCCCCCAGGTGTCTAAACATGTTAAATTATAAGACGACTCAAAGCACACCGTGTGTCGTCAACTCTCTTCCCTTTTTCCCTTCCCTGCAGGTCCGCCCTGCACCAGTTGGTGCTTGCACTGCGGCCTCAGGTGCCCCAACAAGCACCGTCCAGCACTCTTGTTTGGACGAGAGTGAGGAAGGATGAGACAAGAATTGCCGTCCAGGAGCTGCTAGCTTCGGGTTCCGCCCGCCTCATCAGGCTGTTCCAGGTACGGATGGCATGGCAACAGGGTGTGATGGCATGGGGTGCGTGATTTGTGTGGATGGCATGGGTTGTGTGTTTTGTGTGGGGTGTTGATGACATGGGGTTGTGTTCGCACGGGTTAACTCAGCAGTCTTCCACGCACCGCTGCTGGCACACCACACCACCAACATGACAGCAACACCTACGCAACTTACCATTCCTTTTCCTTTCCCCCTTACCATTTCCTGCACGTGCTCCCCTGTTCTCGCCTCCAGGCTGTATGGGACGACCACATTCACAGCGAGGCCCAGCGATCTGCTCGCCAGTCCCCCTTGAAGGCTCTTCACACGCTGCTGCTGTTGTCTCACTCCTTCCCCCTCTGTTTCCCAGGCTGTATGGGACGATCACATTCACAGTGAGTCGCAGCAATCCGCATGCCACTCCCCCATCGCCCCACCCTTGGAGGCCCTTCACGCGCTGCTGCTGGCACACGGGCAAGCTGGCAGCAACCCCGAACAGGGACTGATGGAAGTGAAGGAGGGTGAAACGAATGACGCCAAGGGCGACGACGCAGAAACAGGAGCGATTGGAAAGAATGAAGTGGAAACGGAGGGAGAGCTAGAGGGAGAACCAGGGGATGGAAGGGGACAGACGATGGGCGAGAGGGGAGATGGTGGGGTGCTTGGTGGGGTGCACGAGATCAGAGAGGGTGTGGGGAGGGAGAGTGTGGAGGAGCGGTGTGTGTGGGAGCTTGTGGAGCATGGGAGGGTGGAGAGGCGGGTGGTGGTGGAGAGTGTGCTGGAGGGAGCTCTGGCTGCTGTGCATGCCGGGCAGTTCAGCAAGGCTAACAATGTAAGTGTTACGTGCAAGGGATGTATCTGAACAATCTCAGGAACCGCGTTTAATGAGGGTGGAGAAGCGGGTGGTGGTGGGGAGTGTGCTGGAGGGTGCCCTGGCCGCCGTGCATGCCGGGCAGTTCAGCAAGGCCAACCATGTGAGTGCTACGCTCAAAGGGCCTGTTTTTGACTTATTCGGAACTGCATGGTGGGGTGGAGAGGAGGGTGGAGAGGCGGGTGGAGAGGCGGGTGGTGGTGGGGAGTGTTCTGGAGGGAGCACTGGCTGCTGTGCACGCGGGGCAGTTCAGCAAGGCCAAACATGTGAGTAATTCAGCTTAGCTCAGATGCTCTGTGCCCGGTCAAACTCCTCTCTTGTCACGCAACCAATGGCTCACACCCACATGTTCACTTCCTCAAACCTTTTTACAGTTCTCAAAGGGTTTTGGTTCAAGGTTTCGGGTTTAGGGCCGGTTAACTCCCGCTTCGAAAACCAAGCTATCATGTGTAATGTGTGTGTTTGTTTGGGCTTTAAGGTTCAACCATCTTCGTCACCTCTCCCAACCCCCATTCCCCTCCCCTCCCTGCAGATCCTCCGTCTGTGCCCCGCTCTCCGTCCCCTCACCACACTCATCGCCTGGAACCTCACAGGCCGCTCGCACACTGTTCCTGCTCATGCCCATCCCTCTCTCTTCCTCCCCTCCTCCCCTTCCTCTCCCTTCTGCAGATCCTCCGTCTGTGCCCCCCTCTCCGTCCCCTCACCACGCTCATCGCCTGGAACCTCATAGGGCCGTCCCACCCCGCCACCCGCCTGCGCCTCCTCTGGGCTCTCTGGCCTCACGAGTCCGCCCATGCCCTGCTGCCAAACAAGCCTCTCCTTAGCAACTCCTGGTCGTCGCAGCTGCAGCATGCTGACGTATGCTGTGCTCACCTCATCTACGACACACATCTGGCCTTCCTCATCGCTTCTCGCCACGCTACCTTGCAACAACAGCAGAGGAAGAAACACCATCAGCAGCAGCAGGAGCAGGTTTCTTCCCATCAACATCACCATCACCCAGACCAGCAGCAGCAGCAAGGGCTAGACCCACAGGCAAGGCCGTTTTCCCCTGCAGCTGATTCCGGCCCTATTTCTCCACCTCACAACCAAACTCAGAAGGGGCTCCCACGTATGCTGAGTCCCAATGGAGTGGCTTGTATGGTGGGGACAGCGGACCTGTTCATTGCACGGCTGGCAATGGAGCTGCTGCAGGTGCAGCCGGCCCTGCACGTGCTGCTGTCTCTGAGTGCCCACTGTTTCCTCCCACACGAACTCATAAAGCTAGTGCAGGCCCAGCCGGGAGCTGAATGCAACCTGCTCGGTGGCACATCTGGCAGGTGAGAGATGGAGCAGTAAGGTATGGTGCGAGCAACTGGCCCAATTGGTGTGAGATGGTTGGATGGTGTGAAAGCCGGTGTGAGGATCTCTCACTGTACGTGCTGGTGAGTTTGGGGAGATCCTTCACGTGCTGTTTGGCGCCCAGGCAGCTGAGACTGCTGTGCCTTGCTAGGAGGAGGCAGAGACGGACGACGTTGTTGGGTTGTGCTGGGTCAGACTGGGTGAACCAAGTACCTTCTCCCTCTGTCCGCCTTTCTGTGCTCCTTCTCTCCAGGGACTGGGACGTGGAGCTCCTTCACATGCTGTTTGGCGCCCAGGCTGCTGAGACTGCCGTGCATGCCATGACAGGCGGTAGCAGGGGAAGAGATGGAATGGGGGAAGAAGGAAGGGGAGCGGGAGCAGCAGAGGCGATGAGAGCGGTGGAGTCATTTGAGCATCATGCAGCCCATGTCACCACTGCTGCCCGTAAGGTAGGTCCTTCTCTTTCCGCACGGTTGTGGGGGAGGGAAGACGCAAGCGAGAGGTGCAACAGTGTGGAGCATATCTCTCTGCGCGTCTCAGATCTGGATGGGCTACACTGTGCGCTCGCTGCTTCTTGCTCATTTTTGAGGCGCCTCAAAATATGCTCCCGTGCTCTGGCGTGTCTCAGATCTGGATGGGCTACACCGTGCGCTCGCTGCTCCTCTCTGCCTCGAAACCACCCTCCACGAATGACAGTCCAGCGGACGACGAGGATTGCCTGGCTGGTGTCACCATGGCCCGCCTTCAGCTGCTGGGTAAGCACGATGCTGCTGCTGGTGATGTTGATGCAGATGCTGCTGTCTCCGATCCACCTTCCACCTCCACCAGAAAGCATCTGTAGCACCATCAACACCCCCGACTGTAGCATCAGTTCCCCCGGCTGTAGCGCCATCAGTACTCCCGGCTGTGGCACCGTCCGTAACCCCGGCTGTAGCAGTGATGGAGGCCTTGCTGGCGGCTGTAGCCAGGCTTTTGCCGCCCCAGGGCACAGAGACGCACGGCATGGCTCGTCCTTTTCTGCTGGACGCGTCTCCCTTGAGCGGCGTGGACAGGCGGGCGGCACGGGCACTGTTGAAGCGGAGGGATGTTGGGGAGGTGGGATCTGGTGGTTGTGATGATGGTGCTCCTGCTGCCCCTGCAGCTGCTGCTGCTGCTGCTGCTGCTGGTAGTGGTGGTACTCCCACTGATACTGCTGCCACTGCTGCTGCTGCATCTGCTGGCCTGAAAGGAACAGAGTCAGAGGAGAAGCAGCTGGGACAAAAGGGACAGGGTAGGCCTGAAGGGGGCAGCACAGCAGAAACGATAAGTTTGCCTTCCAGAAGAAAAAGGAGGCTGCTTAGTGGGGATGGGGCAGGGGCGGAGGAGCAGGAGGAGGAGGAGGAGGGTACGAGGATGGAAGAGGAGAGATTGCAACAGATAGGAGGGAAGGGTGAGGGGGGGATGACAGGAGGAAAGGGAGATGGAGGGTTGTCTGGGGAGGGTTTAGCTGAACGTGGTTCAGATTCAGATGCTTCGGATTCAGACACTACATTGGATGGTCTAGATGCTGGTTTTGCTGCTGAGCTGGATGCTGAGCTGGACGCACAGGCGTCTGACGTGGCAGCGGCGGCAGTGGAAGTGCTGGCTTCTGATTGGAAGCAGAGGGCGCAGGTGGTGCGTGATTGGCTGGACGACTGGCAGTGGCGACTGGCTGTGCTGAAAGCTGATTGGCTGGGCGTTCGTGTCAGACGGGGGGAAGGGGAGGAGGGGGAGTTGAAAGAGGAGGCGGTGTTGGAAGGGGTGGAAGGGGAGGGGGAGGTGGAGAGGGCAGAAGGGGAAGCGAGTGATTATGAGCAGGAGGGTGGAACGGAAGGACGTGAGAGGAAGGGAGGAGAGGGGAAAGGGCAGGCAGGGAAGGGGAAGGAGCGGCGACTGCGGAGTGATTGGTCGGCATGGGGGTGGCACGAGGTGGTGGCGTGGATGCGAGTGGAGCCCTCTGCTCTCATCTCCTGGTGAGTCATACCATGCCATTCTCTCTGGGTCATTCTTTTGGTCTCTGATGCGCCCATTCTTGTTCCTTGGGACGTCTCAAAACACAACGGAGCGATGGCACGAGGTGGTGGCATAATTGCGAGTTCTGTAGCCCGCTCATTCCCTTTGTTCCTCCTGTTCCCCCTGTTTCCCCTGTCATAATGCAGCTGCCTGTTAGTGGGCAACTTCTCTCTCTGCGATGCACTCAGAGGCACGACTGCACCTCTCTGCCTGCCGTGCCTAAATCTCTAGGCTGATTCTCTCGGTCCCCCCTCTCCACCCTGTCATTTGCAGCTTATCAGTGGGCGACTTCTCTCTCTGCGCCTCGCTCACTCGACACTTCCCATTGGCCGTGCACTCAGAGAGGCACGAGTGCAGCTTTCCGCGTGCCTGGCTCGCCTCACTCACTCCTGTCCGCCGTGTCCCTCCCTCTTGTTCCCCCTGTATCTCCTGTTCCCCCTGTCCTTTCTCGTCAGCTGCCTATCAGTGGCCGACTTCTCTCTCTGCGACGCGCTCACTCGTCGCTTCCCACTGGCCGTGCACTCAGAGGCACGAGTGCAGCTTTCCGCATGGCTCGCCCGCCACGATCAATCCAGAGTCGTCCGGTGGGACAGTGGAGGAGGGCGATTGCACGCCAGCAGCAGCAGCGATGGCGGTGGTGGTGGTGATATTGCTGTTGGCAGTGGTGGGAGTGGGGGGGGAGGTGGGAGCAGGGGTGGGTTGGAGAGGGTGGGGAGTGTGGAGGCTAGGGAGAGGCGAGTGAGGGAGAACGAGCAGGTGGACACGCTATTCTCGCTCTTCTTTGCTCCATCACAAGCCATGTGGGAGATGTTTCCGGCCCTTGACATGGTATGTGTGGAGAATACGCTCCCCGCCTTTGAGGTGGTATCACTGGTATGTATGCGCTATTGAAGTGCCTCACAAGAGGGAGAACGAGCAGGTCGACATGCTATTCTCGCTCTTCTTCGCCCCGTCCCAGGCTATGTGGGAAATGTTTCCGGCTCTTGACATGGTACGTGTGGATGGTAATATGTTTCTGTCTCTGGACATGCTATGTGGAGAAGGAAAAGTTTCCTCTCTCTCGACGTGGCATGTGCGAGTACTGGTGAGATAAAGGATTTTCACTCCCCGCATTATCTGCTCACGTCTCAATGTATTTCCCTGCTTTCTGTGTTTTCATGCAGGTGGCCATCCTGCTGGATGCAGCAGCAACACAGGCTCGCACCGCCCCTGACGCCCTTGTTCTGCTCGACCAGGTATTTCCTCATGCTTTCAGGCGCCTCTAAAACTGAAACAACATGTTTGACGCCTAAGAAATCGTTCTGGATGGAGGTGCATTTTGAGGCGCCTCAAAATACACCTCCCTGAAACAACATGTTTCACGCCTAAGAAATCGTTCTGGATGGAGCAGCAGCAACACAGGCTCGCACCGCCCCTGACGCCCTTGTTCTGCTCGACCAGGTATGGTTGCATTCTCTTTCTCATTCTCATTCTCGTTCTCGTTCTCATTCTCGTTCTCACTCTCACTCTCATTCTCATTCTCACTCTCACTCTCACTCTCATTCTCATTCTCATTCTCATTCTCATTCTAATTTCTCGTCTCATTGCTCTTACTTAGAGTCATGAATACACGAAGACCTGATTGTCAGCATGACCTTTTCATGCTTCATTTCAACCTTTGAGGCGTCTCAAATTTCATTCTTGTTCCTTTATTTCCGTGCTTGCGTCTCAGACCTGGCTGTCAGCTTGCCCAAACAGAGATATATTGAGTCGATTAAAATCAAGATTCATGCGTTTTCGTGTCGCATACCCCTTCCCCTCCTCCCTTCCACCAACCAACCCTGCAGGCTCGCACTGTTTTGACAGCCTGGCAGGCGGACCAGCAAGGACTGAAGGATGAAGACAAGGGCCGGGGGGGAAAGAATCGGCCGGGGAAGCAACACCAGCAGCAGCAGCAGCAAGAGCGAGAGGAAGACAGTAGCACCAACTTAAACTCAGTGCAGTGGGCGACAGCAGAGCGGCTGCTGCAGCGGCTGGAGGCCATTCAGAACCAGGACCCTACCACGCCACTCCCGAGCCTGCTGGCCGCCGTGCAGCCGCACCTGTCGCCGTCCCCGGGCCTGTCAGGCTCGGCAGGGGTGCGTCGGGGCCCCAAGTCTCGGGCGGTGATGGCATTGCAGCAGGTGGTGGCTGATTGTGAGGCGGGCACGGCGCAATTTGTCAGTGGTACGTACAGGATGTTGACTAGCTATGCTCTGGGTATGGTTTCCGTTCAGGTGTTACAGGGTTGCACTTTAGGGGTCATTGGGGGCCTAAGGCTCGGGCGGTGATGGCACTGCAGCAGGTGATAGCGGATTGTTCGGCCGGCACGGCCCAATTCGTCAATGGTACGTACATACAGCGGAGTGTGGACAATAAGACGTACAGGCATGGCTTTCTTTCAACTGTAATTCATGAGTGTTTGGGTCCCAAAGCTTGGGCGGTGATGGCGCTGCAGCGGGTGATTTTGGATTGCAAGGCAGGCACAGCAGCGTTCATCAATGGTACGTGGTTTTTTTGTTGTTGTTATTTTCCTTTGCTCATTTGGAATCTTCTCGTCGGAATTTGTCACCCGCCTCGAGCCAGTTGTCAGCCCTCTAAAGCCACTCTGTTTTCTTCTTTCCCTGTAAACCCCAACCCCTGCCTTTGCCATCCAGGAAAACGCCACAATCTCATCCGAGCCTTGGAAGACCCCGCACCAGCAGCAGCAATGCCCCTATGTTGCCCCTCTCCCCCCTACCCACAACCCGCCCGCCCTGCTTCTTGTTCCTACCCCTTCAGGCAAGCTGCACAACCTCATCCGAGCCTTGGAAGACCCCGAACCAGCAGCAGACCCTCTCTCCCAGGTGATCACCGCACCTGCCACAGCGGCTGGCCAATCAGGATCCGCCACGTGTCCTCCACCTGGCAGCGGGCTTGGCTTTGGCATTGGTTTGGACGTGATCTTGCCAGAGCTGCTTGCTACAGACGCTACAGCTGATGCTGCTGCAGCCACAGGAGACGCTACAGCTGCTGCTACAGCCGGTGCTACAGCTGCTGCTAGTGCAGCCGGTGTTTCTGGGCTGAGTACGGCACCAGTGGCAGTAGCAGGGGTAGCAGGAGCAGGGGCTGTAGCACCAGCGGCTGTAGCAGCTGCTGCTGCCAGTGCAGCAGGTGCTGCTGGTGCAGGTGGTACGGGTGGAGGGGATACCCTGGGTGTTGCTGCTGCTGCTGGTGGTGATGGTGCTACTGCTGCTGCTGCTGCTCCTGACGCCGCTGTAGGACCTTCCTTGTCCTCCTCCTCCTCCTTTTCTCTCTGGCGAATGTTGCATGGGGGAGGAGGAGGAGGAGCAGGAGCAACGGGAGGAGGAGCAGGAGGAGGGGGGCCAGCAAGTGTGCCTGCAGTGTCTGCCCGAGCCGATTCCCAAGGCTCGGTGGCTGCTACAGCTGCGGTGGCGGGCTTAGCTTCGGCAACAGGTTCGGGAGGAATGGGATTGACAACAGGGTCTCCTGTGCATACACCCCCTCTCTCCCCCCGCTGGACTCGATCCTCTTCTAGCCTTGGCCTCTCCGCTGCTGCTGCTGCTGCTGCTGCTGGTGCATCGGTGGCAGCAGCAAGGGAAGGTGCCGGTGCTGCTGGTGCATTGGAAGCAGCAGCAGTGGCAGCAGCAGTTGAAGAGCTCTCTGAAGGAGGTTCAGCTAGGTCTGCCTCCCTCCCTCTTCCCTCCAATTCCGCCACCACTACCACTGCATCCTCTGCTGCTGTTGCTCCGTCTCCCCTTTCAGTACCATCACGCTCCTCTATAGGCGCTGTCAGCATGCCCCCTCCCTCCACAACCACCACCATCACAAGCACCCCATCTGCTGCTGCATCTGCACGCGTATCTGCTCCTCCAGCTCCAGGTGCTTCCTCAGGTGGGAATGCCAGAGCGTCTGCCCTGCTCCCTCCTGTGCCGCGATCCTCCATGCCCAGTCTCTGGCCTTTCTCTTTCAACTCTGCAAACGCCAAGCAGGCTGCTGCTGCAGCAGAGGGGCAGAATGTAGTTGGGCTTCAGTCCCTTCTAGGGTCTAGCACTGGCGGAGAAGCAGCAGGAGCATCAAAAGCATCAGGAGCAGCGGCGGTAGGAGGAGCAGGAGGGGGAGGAGAAAGAGGTGGAGAGGGAGGAGGGGCGGCGGGAGCATTATCATCATCAGCAACAGCAGCGGCAGCAGCAGGGTTGCGAGGGCCAGGGAAGCAGTCTTGGGATCATCCCAAGGGTTACCTGCCAGTCTTCTTAAACTACGTGGTTCAAATTGGGGATATAGTCGACGACAGTGACCCCAGCCACCCCTTTAACTACTTCTCTTTACTAAACATCGACCCGGTGGAGCTTTTAAGAGAGCTTGTGTTTGTGAGAGGGGATATTGCTGCTGCGTTGGATGTGGCTGGGATCATGGGTAGGAATTCTCTATCTGCTGATATCATCCCCGCAGCTCTCCCGAGCCTGCTGCCGCCAGTGCCGAGCCTGAAGCTCTGCTCCGTGGCTCGGCGCTTCCGAAGCAGACTGCTGGGCAGGTCCAGAGGAGGACCAGGGCAGGGTAGGCCCGGTAGGAGCAAGGTAGCAGGAGGAGTGGGAGGGGTGGAAAGTGCGGAGAAGCTTCTGGTGCCTTCTCCGTATGAGCCGCCGCGATTTGCACTGAGTATGGATGTGGTTCAGCTGCTTGCGAGAGAGTCTATGGTGCATGCTGTGTTGGCTTGTGTGCTTGGGGCAGAACAGCAGATCGTGCAGATGCACAGACGCAAGGAAAGAGAGCGTGACATGGAAACAATAGGTGCATTTTCCGTTGGTGGCGCTGTTGCTGCTACCGGTGGTGGTGGTGCTGCTACCGGTGGTGGTGCTGGTGGTGTTGGTGGTGTGGGTAGGGCTGGTGGTGTGTTGGGCGGGGATAGGAGCAGGGGCAAGGGAGGGGGAGTGGGAGGAGCAGGGAGTGCAGTGGAGGCGGAGGAGGAAGCTGCGAAGAAGCTGATGGAGTATGCACGCGTGCACTCTGCCAGGTCTTTCCCCATACTCCCCCCGTTCCCCCCTCCCCAGCACCCCAATCATCCACCGGTGGGTCACTCTGCAATCTGCCATCCACTCTATCGCCATTGCTGCTGCTAAAGCACCCTCCCGCGCTCCCAAGCAGCAAGCACCAGCAGCAGCAGGAGCTGCAGCAGGTGTGGGGGCGTCAGTGGGGGGAGGAAGCAGAGGTGGGCCAATGGGTGCAGGGGATGCAGGGGGTGCAGGGATAGTGGGGGTTGCACGGCCAAGGGGATCAGAGGAGGGGGGAATGCAAAGAACTGTAGTGGCGATAGGGCAACAGGAAGTACTAAGGGAACAGCCATTGAGTTGGGGGGGCAGCTCGATCCTTGGAGTGACCTTGCCTGTGCATTCACCTGGTAGCAGCAGCAGGAGGGGTGGGAGGGCGTTTACCGGGTCAGCTCTTCTTCTTGCAGGGCAAGAAGGAACACCAAGGAGAGTGAGAGGTGCGAGATTGCCTGGAGCAGGGGGGGCAGTAGCAGATGGTATCGGTGGGCCGGTGGTGGGTAAAGAACGGGGGGGTGAAGGAAAGGTGGGTGGAGGAGGAGGAAGAGGCACAAAACGGCCTCTTGCTGCTGAAACTGATGCGGTCGAGGTGGGAAGTGGGGAGGAGGGGGGAGGGAGGAGAACCAGGGCATGCGAGTGCTGGTGTTGCTGAGAGCGACGTTGGAGATACACCGAGTGACCAGGGGGGCTGGGCAGGAGAGGAAGGGAGACCGAGAGGAGGAGTGAGGGAGGAGCAGGGCAATGGTGAAGGGGCAGCACCCGCAGGGGCAGCAGAGGCGGCAGGGGTGGCAGGAGTAACAAGGGCGGCAGGGACGGTAGGGGCAGCAGCAACAGCAGGGGCGGCAGTGGTTGGCGGTCGACTGGAGGCTCTGTTGACGGAGTGGGAGGATTTGCGGCCTGTGAGGATTCACCTGGAGAGGTGAGGATTCACTTGGAGAGGTGAGGATTCACTTGGAGAGGTGAGGATTCACTTGGAGAGGTGAGGATTCACTTGGAGAGGTGAGAATTCACCTGGAGAGGTGAGGAGTTGAAATACAATCAAAATAAATAACACTTTATTATAGGATGCACATACCAGCCCTAGTTGATTTGATTTAGGTGTTTTCTTCCTTTCACCTTCACCCCTCCCCCTCCCTCCCCCTCTCCCCTTTCCCCGCAATCGTTTTTCTCATCCTTTCTCCCAGCCTGATTGCTGACTCGCGATTGGCCGAGGCCCTTGAGCTGGCGGACACGTGGCTGCCTGAGGGGGCGCCAGATCACCTGCTGTGTCTGCTCGTGGAGCAGGCAGAGCGCTCTGATGGTGGTAATGCTGCTCACACGCACACAGCAGGAGCAACTGGAACATGGACGGCAGGAGCAGGGGCAGGGACAGGAGGAGACATGATGCGGTTTCAGAAGGTGCCTGTAACACAGGCAAGCAGGGTGCAGCAGAAGAGCCCAAGGAGTGGAGGAGTTGGGTTTGCAGGTTCTGCGGCTGCTGCTGCTGGTGCTGCTGGTGGGGGGAGTGAGGCAGGGAGCCGCACTGGCAGTGCGGGCAAGGCCGTGGGGAAGCCGGTAACAGCGGGTGACAGCTGGCGGTTTGTGATTCGCGTGGCTGACAAGGAGCTTGCAGCGGCGCTGGCTCTGAGGTGAAATTGGGGGGGTGGGGTGGGATTCCAAAAGCTCTCAAATATCGCTCGCAAGGGCGGATCTGTCTGTTTCATCATGCCATGCCATTGGTTGAGCAAGCGTCTGTTTCATCTGTCTGTTGGGGGTTCTGGTTCTGTGACGATGACGGCAGCTTGCTACAATCACAATATTCAGAAGCTGAGCATGCGTCTGTATGTGTCCTTTTTGTGTGGGGTGTGTGTGGGGGTGTGTGGCATATGCGCTGCTGTGTCTGCATGGACTTATGTTCTCTGTGCATGACTGCCTGCACTGCACCACTATAGGTACCACCACAGCTGGCAGCTGTCACCCATCCACACCGTGTTCAACACCTGCCTCTCACACCTCCCTGCACACTCGCCCCTGCGCTCTCAGGTATGCTCGCTGCCTTCCGGCTTTGGAATGTTCATAGCAGACGCGATAGTATCGGTGACCCTGTAGCTCCTGTGTGTACCGCACTTTAGAATTGCATGTTGAGGGTTAGGGTAAACCTTTAACCCTAAACCCTCGTCTTTGTTGAAACATAAAATCGTATTGGTCTTGTTCCCTCGACCCTTCCCTTTCCTGTTCCCACCTCTCTCCCTTCTCACCTTCCTCCCCTCCCCACCCTCCTCCCACCTCCCCCCAAAGATCCTCACCTGCAAGTCATCTGTGGATCAGTACACTCGCATCCGCTCCATTCTCAACGACAGAACCCTTGCCACGTGGCAGCAGGTCAGTGGCTTGGCTCTTCGTACTTGTTTGTCGTCAGCTAATCAGCAACATCAGAGTCGCTTTTGAAAATTTCAAAAGTGAAAACGATTCAGCTGTCATCAGCCAAGCCGACAGTCAAGGGGTGAAAGGGTCAAACACCTTTCTCCCCTCTCTGCTCCCTATCTAGGTTCGCTCGCCACCCAGCCGCCAAGCGGCAGTGAAACAAGAGGCTGCCTTTTGAATGAAACCTGACCTGAGCCTCTCTCCTTCCCGCTCTCGCCTCTTTCATTTCCAGGTTCGCGCGCTCTGCTTCCGCGATCCCGAGTCAGTTTGTCGCCAGCTAGCTGCTAAGGGAGCAGTCAAGGAGGCAGTGTCACTAGCAGAAGCACATGCTACTGCTGCTCCTGCTGCTGCTGCACCAGCAGAAACACCAGGAGCAGGAGCTGGAGTGGAAACAGTAGCTGCTGCTAATGCTGCTGCTGCTAGTGCTGCGTGGGGAGCAGGGGCTGCTGAAGCAGCACAAAGAGCAGCACTGGGAGCGGCACCAGCAGGAGCAGTAGCTGCAGCAGCAGGAGCGGCAGCAGAAGGGAGGGTGGGAGGGGCGTTACTAGCAGAGCTGAGGGGGCGCTATCTGAGTGAACTAATGGGTGGGGATCCGTTGCAGGGTGACTCGGGCCCTGCAGTGGGAATGAGATATCTGGAGAGATTGATGTTGGAAGGGGCGAAGGAGCGTGATAGCAGCAGGCACGCGGGTCAGGAAGACAGGGTCGGCATGGATGGTGGTTCTGCTGCTACTGGTGATGGGTCTGGTGTGGCTGGTGTTGGTGGTAGCACTGGTGCTTCTGCTTCCACTGCCGCTCCTGCTGGTGCCGGTGCCGCTTCTGGCGGTGGTGATAGGAGGAGCGGAGAAGAGGGGGTGGAAGCAAGGGGGAGAGTGGAGGGCAGGGAGGGAGTGATGGGTGTTGTGCTATCGGCCATGCAGTGGGCTCCGTCCCTGCACGCCAAGAAGCTCATCGTACGTATCCTCATGCGCTTGCCTCTTTCCATCCATGTGACTAGCCACCTCACCTCACCTCACCTGCCTATCGGCCATGCGGTGGGCGTCCCTGCACGCCAAGAAGCTCATCGTACGTGCGCTAATGTGCCGCCTAACTATTGTGTGCTTGTGTCTGAAAGTTCTCCTCGCCTCACCTTTGCTGTCAGCCATGCGGTGGGCTTGGTCTGTCTCTGCATGCCAAGAAGCTCATCGTACGTTACGTGAACCCACTTTGAGCGTCTCAGTACCCACATGTTCTTGCTTCCTTTCATCCATCCATGTGCCTTGTGTGTTGCGCATCTTTTTGAGTCGACTCAAAAATGTGCTTGTTTCTTTCCATCCATCCATGTGCCTTGTGAGTTTCGCATCCTGCAAATATGCATCCTGCTGTCATCATTTCTTAAGTTCCTAAAAAACACATCTTCATACCCACCCCTCCCCTTCCCCCACGACTGTCAAAAGGTGAATTTTGTCCTCAAGCGGGCAGCAGAGGCAAGTTTGCCTTCTGCTGACGTGGCAGACGCCAGGCAGCTCCAACTAGGCCTGCAGCTTCTGGGAACCTTCCCGACGGAGTGGCAGCAGCGGCTGGGAGGGCAGCATGTGGCTGTGCTGCTGCAGCCGGAGCTTATAGTGGAGAGCCTTATAATGGAGAAACACACCTCCCTGCTGCCACAGGTAGGATGCACGTTCATTCATTCATTCTGTATGTATTTTGTTACCCTATTACCGTGTGTTATCCCATGTTGTTACACCATGTTGACCCCTGTTACCCCCCAACTTATCGCCTGTCACCGCTTGTTACCTCCTCTCACCCCTTCTTCCTGCGCGTCTTCCAGAGCTTTCCCAAGTTCCATGCCTTATAAAACGACACCCACCTCCTCTCTATTTTGTGGAGGTTGATTTCGACAATTCTCAGAATCTATTCTCTGTCACCCCTTCTTCCTGCGCCTCTGGCAGATCTTCGCCAACTTTCCAGCCCTTCGCAACGACACTCTTCTCCTCTCCTACGCACGCAAAGCCCTCCTCCCCTCCCCTCTCTCCCCCTCCTCCTCCTCTTCCTCCTCCGCCTTCGCCTCTTCCTCTCCCTCCACCACCCACCCATCTGCCACCTCCCCTCCTCCTCCCCCTCCTCCTCCTCTTCCCCACCAAAACTCCCTCCGCTCCTCCGCTGTCCCCCGGCCGCCCTCCGTCCCCCCCGCACCCGTCACCAGCAGCTTTCTGCGCATTCAGCAGCAAGCTTCCCGCGTCTTCCCTTGGGGGGGATCCTCTGCTGCTGGTGGTGCTGCTGCTGCTGCTGCTGCTCCTTCTAGCGATGTCTTTGCAAGCCCTGTTCCGTCCCCTCGTGCTTCTCCTGGGTTAGGAGGGATAGGAGGAGGAATAGGAGGAGGGAAATCAGGAGGAGGAGGAGGGGGAGGAGTGGGAGTGGGGGTGGGGAAAGGGAGTGGGGGGACAGTGGGGGTTGATCGCCCGCCAACGCTTGCAGAGGCAGCAAAGTCGCGACTTTCATCGTCCATTTCTCTGGATTCTCCTGCCCGTACCATCACTTCTCAACCTGCTCCCTCTGCAGCTGCTGCTGGTCGCAGCGGTGCCGCTGCCTCTGGTGCTGCTGGTGCTTCTACTGCTGGTGCAAGCCGTTTTGGCGCACTAGGCAGGACAATCAGCAGCGGCACTGCCAGCCTGCAAACCAGCCCACGTCCAGGTTCACTGAACCACCCACAGGGCACAGCTACAGCTGCTACAGCTGCTAGAGCAGCCGGCGTTCATTCGGAGGTTTCCGGGCGGCATTTAAAATCCGCTGTTACAATCAGCTCCATGTCTCTTCCCGAACTGATTGGCCGGCCCGTCGGTTACCTGCCAGGTGGCCGCACAGGATTGGACGAGGTGTGCGAGGAGGGGGGTGGAGGCGGGGAGGGCGAGGAGGGAGAGGAGGAGGCAATGGGGAGGCTAGGAGCGCGGGACATGCAGCAAGGAGCGATCTTGATAGGGGAAGAGAGGCATGATAGTGAAACGAGAGCGCACCATGTGTTTCCAGACACGCCAGATGTTTCTTTATTCCAGTCGCTTGCTTCGCTGTGTTCTAGAAGATTCTCGGTGGTGAAGGGGCTGCTGGCAGTGGTGGTGGAACAGGCTGGCGTGGCTCTGGCCAAGGAGAGTGTGCCACGTGGCACCAGCCTGCTGTCGCTGACTCAGACCGCCTTCCACTCGAAAGCCTACCTCAAAGTGAGTGAGGGGGGGGGGGGTAAGGGATACAGAGCGAAGGGAGAGTAGGGAGTGAGAGTCGGGACCAGAAGAGCTGAAAACAGCCATGGGATGGGATGGGAGTGGACTCAGAAATCACATCTTCCTACTCTTTTCAAGTCGACTCAAAAGCTGCTTCTTCTGTTCCTTCCCTTCCTCTCCAGGCACGGACCATTGTGAGGGACCTGCTCTTGGCATACCAGGCGCAGCTTGCCAAGATTCTGAGGCGCCTCAAAAGTCTTTTCCCTTCCCACGTCCTCTGGGGTCTGTTCCCAAGTCTGCTTCTTCTGTTCCTACCCTTCATCTCCAGGCACTCACCATTGTGATAGACCTTCTCTTGGCATACCAGACGCAGCTTGCCAAGCCTGGACCTGCCACCCGAACCACAGGCTCGGCACGCGAGCCACCAGCCCAGGTCCGGGCAAGAGGCTCGGCGCAGGTTCGGGGGCGAGATCCGGCGCAGGTTCGGACACAGCTGAAGGTGCTGAAGCAGCTGCTGGTTCGGGCAGAGGCTTGGATCGCACGGGTGAAGCTTCTGAGAAGGTTCCTGGCGGATAATGTGGGGGTGGGGATTGACGAGCTTGGTGGGGGTGACCCTGACTTCCAGCCTGGTTCTCCTGGGTTATTTGCCTCTCTGTACATTCACTCAGTGATGGGAGGAGGAGAGAAGGGCGGGGCAGTAGGAAGGGGAGGAGGACGGGAATCGGGGGCAGGAGGGGGAGCAGCGGGAGGGGATATGGCTTGGAGTGTTGAGATACAGCAGAACCAGCAGCAGTCGCAGCAGCAGCGGCGGCACCACCACCACCACCAGCAGCAGCAGCCAAGGTCGATGCAGCAGCAACAACAGCACTGGCACGGTTCGTCACAGGCCCGGTTGCATCCCGAAGCAGAAGCAGAGGCACGGGAGGCGTCCCTGTCCGCGACCCTGGCTCTCAGGGACGGGTTGGTGAAGGAGGAATGTTATGAGCTGGCAGCTGCTCTGTGTGACACGTGTCATCATGTGGACCCATGTCCTGTGTACAAGGCATGGGCGATGTCCCTCATTCGAGTGAAGAACTACACCCAGGCGCGGCACATTCTAGAGTGAGTATGAGAGAATGTATACCTTACTATACACATATCGCTTCCTTTTCTTTTGTGAGCTATGGGTGGGTTGCTGCTGCTCTTTATAAGGCGTGTCATCATGGTGTGTGGACCCCTGCCCTGTGTACAAGGCGCAGGCACTATTCATACCCCTCTTCCCTTCTCTTCTCACCCTTCTTTCCCCCCTACTCCAGGCGACTCTTTTTCTTCCTCAACCCAGCCTCCTCTTCAGCTCCAACCACCGCTTCTGCTGCTTATGCTACTTCTGCTCCTGCTGCCGCTCCAGCTGTTGCAAGCACTTCTGGCAGGCGCGTTTCCTCCTCCTCCACCTCCTCCTCTTCCTCTGCTGCAGCTGCTGCTGCTGCGAGTTCACAAGGAGTTGTGGTGGGAGCGGGAGGAGCAGCGTCAGCAGCAGGAGGGGGGAGAGAGGTGCTGAGGAGTCGCGGAGGGGTGGGGGCAGGCACAGGACAAGCAGGAGGGGCAGGAGGGGCAGGAGGAGCGGGAGCGGTGGGAGGTGTGGGAGGAGGGGGTGGAGGGGAGAGGATGGCAGTGGTGGCACGGGAAGTCGTACGCTTCATCGAGACTTGTATTCCTGCTGATGTGCCCGGGACTCAGCTGCTGTGAGTAGCATTCCTTGGATGGGTTGCCGTTGAAGCTCCCATTAGCACGATGGAATCACAATTGAGAGATTTCATAAGTGATTCCAGAGCAACGCATTCTGCTTGGCTGCTATCTACATGCGTATCTATCACATGCTGTTTTCAGAACCATGCAACTCAAAACATCCCTCTTCCTTTTCCTCTCCTATCCCCTTGTCGCCCATCACCTCTCACCTCTCAGTCTATCCCAAGCAGAGGAGGCCGTAGAGAGTCGATTTTTTAGTAGCAGATTCCTTCAAAAATCGACTTACTACACGCAGAGGAGGCCGTAGCAGATTCCTTCCTTCTATGGCTCCTTCACAGCAGAACCACGTCTTATACTTCTTGTTTCTTTTTCCGTCCCGCTTTTTCCTTCTCTCCCATCACCTCTCAGCCTATCCCAAACAGAGAAGGCGGTAGCAGACTCTTTCCAGGACTCCCTCACAGCAGAGTCCTACCTGGGCGCTCTCACCTCCACCATAACACAGGATGCCATAGATCTTTGTTCTTTCTCCCATATCCTTGCGTCTGTCTGTGCCATCGCGTTTCAGCCTATCCCAAACAGAGAAGGCAGTAGCAGATTCTTTCCAAGACTCCCTCACAGCAGAGTCCTACCTGGGCGCTCTCACCTCCACCTCCACCCTCTTCAGCTCTCCCACCCTCCGCCCCTCCTCCTCCTCCACCTCCTCCTCCTCCGGCCGCCCATCCTCCTCCTTAGCACCACCATCCACTGCAGCTGCATTCGGTACTCCCACCATCCTTACCAATGCTGCTTCCAACACTCCTTCCGGTCCTGCTGCTGTCACTTCTGCTGGCATTTCTCCGATCCTAGGGGCCATGCCCCCTCCTGCTACTATGCCTTTTGACCAAGGGAGACAGGGAGGAGGGCGAGAAGGATCAAGCCTATATTACCGCCAGTCTGCGTTTGAGGCACAGGGTCCGGCCTGGTCAGGGCAGGGAGAAGGGGGGTTAAGGGGGCGTGGGGAGGGGCTGGGGGGAGAAAAGGAGGGGCATTGGGAGGGGCAGGGAGAAGGCGGGGAGGGGCGAGGGGAGGGGCAGGGAGAGGGGGTTGCGGTGGTGGAGGATGAAGAGAGGGAGACGTTCTCTTACTTGGATGATGAGAGGTTCAATGAGTGCACTCAGCTGCTCAAGAATGTGAGTATCCATTGCTTTTCAGAAGGCAAGGGGGGGGAAGGAAGAGGGGGTTGCAGTGGTGGAGGATGAAGAGAGGGAGACATTTTCTTACCTGGACGATGAGAGGTTCAGCGAGTGCACTCAGCTGCTCAAGACAGTGAGTGTTTTTTCTTTCTTTCTTTCTTTCTTGGAATGACTCATCTGTTTTGGTACCCATCATGGTGTGGTTCCGCACGTCTGTAATCTCCTGCTCGTCTCTCTAGACACTCATACCTGCCCGACTTCTTCACTATTCTTGCCTCGTGATCTGCCCTTCTGTCTCCCCTGCAGCATGCTCCTCGGGATCTCCTCCCCTTCATGTTCAAACACGGCCGCTACCGCTCTGCCTGCTGGCTCATTTTCTTCCCTCCTCCGCCTCCCCACCCTTCCTCCTCCTCCTCCTCCTCCTCCTCCCCCTCCCTCTTATCCACTCCTGAGTACAGCAGCAGCAGCACCACCACCACTTCCACTCTTCCAAATCCCCTGGCACCTCAGCCGCCCGCATTTTCACTCAGCCCGGCTCGGCCCTCCCTGTCCTCGTTATTAGACTGGGATCCGTTAAAGTCAGAGTACGCTACTGTAGAAGAGCTGTGCGCGCTGTGTGTGTCGTACGGGGCTGTTGAGGTGCTGGAGAGAGTGGTGGCGGAGGCACTAGGAGGGAGTGCGGCAGGAGGAGCAAATGGTGCTGGTGGTACTGGTGCTGCTGCTTCTGGTGGTGGTGCTGCTGCTGGTTGGAGTGTTATATCTGTTGCACCATCATCAGCAGCAGCAGCATCGCCAGCGTCAGCAGCATGGGCGAATGGCAATGTCAAGTGCATGGCGGCTCTCTCTCGCATCTGCACTTTCTTCGAATCCCAGAAGAACTTCCACTTCCTCTTCCGATTCCTCGTAAGCCCCCCTAGTCCCTTCCTCTGCTCCCTCTTCCTCTTTTGAATCTTCGCAAGGGCTTCAGTTCCCAAAAGTGAATTTCACTCCCACAGCGTCACCCCGCCCATGAGTGGGCCCCAGTCATGTGGTGCCTTCCTCCTCTGCCAACATTGTTCAACAATATTGGAGCGACTTTTGAGAATTCTCAAAAGTCCCAGTCATGTGGTGCCTTCCTCCTCTGCCAACAGTCATGTGGTGCCTTCCTCCTCTGCCAACAGTCATGTGGTGCCTTCCTCCTCTGCCAACAGTCATGTGGTGCCTTCCTCCTCTGCCAACAGTCATGTGGTGCCTTCCTCCTCTGCCAACAGTCATGTGGTGCCTTCCTCCTCTGCCAACAGTCATGTGGTGCCTTCCTCCTCTGCCAACAGTCATGTGGTCCCCGATGTTCAACATGCTGGCTGGTGGTGGTGAAGCTTCCAGCTCTTACTCTTTTCCACATGCATCCCACCTTCCCATCTTATTTCTCTTCAATTTCCCTCTGCACCAACTCTTTTCCACACGCATCCCCTCATTCCATCAGCTACTAGCCAAAGACTATGTGGCAGCAGGCCTCTGCAGCATCCAGCTGTTCCTATTTTTGATTCCAGTGTTTGCTTCCTCCTTCTTCCCCCTCTGCTCTCACCCCCCTCACCCTCCTTCCCTCTCCACTTCTTCCTCAGCTACTAGCCAGGGACTACGTGGCAGCAGGCCTCTGCAGCATCCAGCTCTTTCTCTACTCGCCCGATCTTCGCACAGCGGCAACGCACTTGCAGCAGGCACAGGTGGGATTCGGTAGATGCAGCTGCTATGTTTTTCAATACCCCATCAGGATTGCGATTGCCGCAGTTGAGCTGTCTTAACTTGAAACGCACTTGCACCAGGCACTGGTGGGATTGAGCTGGCTGCAGTTAGTGAGGTGACTTTTGAGTCGACTCAAAAGTCACCTCGTTAGCTGGCTGCAGTTAGTGCTCCGTTTGCCCCACTTTCGATGGCTGTGTGTCTGCGTGATTTCGGTCCAATATACAGTGTCTATTTGTTTTCTATCCCCGTCTTTTACATGATGTCCCCTCCCTCCCCATTCCCCCCTCCTCAGCTGTTATTCGAAAAAGGCACAGAAGCGAGGCAGAACGCAGCAGCAGACCTGGCAGCATCGATCGGCCCTCTTGCTGCTGCCGGCAAGAGACTCGCCGTCTCTGCCGCCTCCTCTTCCTCTGGCACTTCTGGTACAGGTGTTACTGGTGCAGGCATAGCTGCAGGAGGAGGAGCAGGTACCACTACCAGCAGTAGTACTACCACCAGCAGCACCACCACCAGCAGAAGCAGCAGCACTGCTGTCAGCCTTGCACTTATTGCCAAGCAGCGGGCGGCGACAGCAAAGATATCGGATGAAGATTTGCTGAGGCTGCAGCGGCTGGCAGAGCTGCAGGTGGAGGTGGTGCGGGCGGTGGGGGCATGTAGTGGCAGGGACAGCAGCGGCGTGCCTCTCGCGGGGGCGGCGAGGAAGGCGCCGTGGAGCGTGGCGCTTTTTGGTGCTCCCAGCGATGCGCGGACCAGCAAGTGAGTGGCTCTTGATAGAATTCAAGAGTATGATTAGTAATGAGCCAACAAAGCTCTATAATACAAGCATGCAAGGAAGAGAAGGGTGGAGGAGGAGCTAACCCTATTGGCCACTAAGTTGGCCAATGGGTGAGGTGCCTTGTGGAGTAGGCAACCTCACAATGTGGCTAGGTTGGGATTGGTTGGTCTAAGGACCAAAAGTTGGCAAGTGCCAACCAAGGGCCAAGACCAAATCCAATCTTGACCAACCACAAAGTGTGGTTGGAGTGTACACCCAACCCCCAAAAAATCTAAAGGACTACACCTATTCTAGCCTATGAATGTTATATATAGTGTACAATTACAACACAACCCCCCAACATGCATAAGGCCAGAAGATGTAATCAAGAGGCCGTCACAACCGGAGGAGGGGTGAGGCCAAGGAGACGCAGAAGGAAGGAGTGAGATGCTTGGGGAAGAGCTTTAGTGAAGATGTCAGCGAGGTTGGCCGCCGAGTCGATCTTGCCAAGGCGAAGGTGCCCGGCCTCAACGAGATCACGAATGAAGAAGTAGCGAAGTTCAATGTGTTTGGAACGCCCATGATACACAGCATCCTTAGTGAGGTGAATGGTGCTGCCAAGCTCATCGAGGAGGAAGGTGAGCCAGCGCGCCTCCTGCGCAGCCATGGTTGCAGCGTAGAGCTCTGCTTCGCAGGAGGAGAGGGCGACGGCAGAGGAGCGTGTGGACCGCCAGCTGATGAGACCGCTGCCCTGAGAGAAGTCATATCCCTGAGAGGACCGCCTGTCCGGGCGAGAGTCAGCCCAGGAAGAACCACTGTAGCCATTGAGGAGGGGTTGGGAGGGGCCACCAAGGGTAAGGACATAGTCCTTTGTGCCACGAATGTAACGAAGGACGCGCTTGGCGGCCTGCTAGTGTTCCTCTGTGTGCTTGCCAGCGCCAACGAAGCGAGCGAGGACGCTGATGGGGTAGGCAAGGTCAGGGCGAGTGGAAACCATGGCGTACATGAGAGAGCCGATAGTTCAGGATAAGGATGGGAGGAGGCAGAGGGTGAGGAGGGTGGGGAGAGGTGGTGCCCAACTGAGAGTGGAGTGGGCTGGGGGCTACCGCGCGCCATTTCAAACCGGTCCAAGACTTGCTGGAGATAGTGACCCTGAGAGAGGGAGATGGTGCGGGCGGAGCGGTCGCGAGTGATGGTCATGCCGAGGTAGTGCTGCAGCTCTCCCAAGTCTTTGCACTTGAGCCGAGTGCCCAGCTCGGCCTTGACTTTCTCGAGCTCGGCAAGGTCAGCAGTGAGGAGGATCATGTCGTCAACATAGACGAGGATGTAGAAGGGAGAGGGGGAGGTGCGGAGGAAGAGACTGGCGTCAGAGCGAGAGGAGCGAAACCCAAGCTCGGCAAGGGTGGCTGCAAGCTTGGCATGCCACTCCCTGGGTGCCTGGCGGAGCCCGTACACGGGTCGACGCAGCTGCCAGACGGAGTCGGCGGGGAAAGGGAGGTGAAAGCCTGCCGGGCGCTCCATGTAGATTAGTTCACGGAGCACGCCTTGCAGGAAGGCGTTGGAGACATCCATCGAGTGGATCTCCATGTTGAGACGAGCGGCGAGGTCAAGGACTGCGCGAACGGTAGCGGGCTTGGCGGTGGGGGAGAAGGTGTCGAAGAAGTCAACCGCATACCGCTGCGTGAAGCCTTTGGCGCAATATCGGGCCTTGTAGACAGGCGGCTCTCCTGGCAGCTGTTTGACGCGAAACACCCACTTTCCCTTCACCACGTTCGTAGAGGGAGGAGGGCGAGGTACATCAACGAAGGAGGAGTTGGCGACAAAGGCCTCTAGCTCCTTGATGATGGCGGCGAGCCAGAGCGGGGCGTCGGGGCAAGCCATGGCCTCCTCATACGTGGTAGGGATGAAAGTGGATGGAGTAGAGGAGAAGGCGAAAACTGGCGTTCCAGAGAGGTCGAAGGTGATGGGCAGAAGGGAGGGGTCACAGAGGTGGAGGTCAAGGAACTCCTCATGGGAGTCCTCAGAGAGGGAGGTGTGGAAGGCGCGGATGGCCACTGGTGCCGCTGCTGGTGCCGCTGCTGGCGCCGCTGCTGGTGCCGCTGCTGGTGCCGCTGCGGTTGCCGCTGCGGTTGCCGCTGCGGTTGCCGCTGCGGTTGCCGCTGCTGGTGCCGCTGCTGGTGCCGCTGCTGGTGCCGTTGCGGGTGCCGCTGCTGGTGCCGCTGCGGAGGCCGCTGCTGGAGCTGCTGCTGATGATGATGAAGGAGAGGTGGCTGCGGGGGCTGTTGCACGAGGGGCTCGATGCAAGACAGCCTGGAAGAAGTGGTGAAGGAGGGGGGAGAGGGAGGGGAGGGTAGAGGTAGAGAGGGTAACAGGGGGCGGTGTACCAAGGATACCGTCACATGACCTGGTGTGAGGGTACCGGGTGAGTACGGTGCAGGGAGGGGGGGAGGGGGGTGAGGGTTGAGAGGGAGGGAGGGGAGGGGAGCCGGGGGAGGAGTGAGCGGGGGAGACAGGGGAGGACAAGGGGTCCGGGTCAAAGATGTCACTAGACGAGGGGGGGGCACCGTGGGACTGGGAGGGCGGAGGGGGAGGGGGTGGGAGGATGGGGGGAGGAGGGAGTAGAGGAGGAGGGGTGGTGTCAGACCAGACAAGGGGACGGGTGAGAGGGGGGAGTGGGTCAGTGGACGGAGGAGAGGAGTAATAGGGGGTGGACTCATCAAAGACGACATCTCGACTGCGAATTAGTCGACCGGAGGGGTGGTGGAGGAAAAGGTAGTCGGGGGAGGAGGGGTTATGACCAAGGAAGATGCAAGCAAGCTTGCCCAAGGAACGAGATCGGTCAGATGGGTGAATGAGGACATATGCTTTTGAGCCCCGGACTCGAAGAGGGGAGACATCGGGCTTGTCTTTTGTCCATAGCTCAGTGGGGGTGGTGGAGGGTAGGAGGGGGTGAGGGTAAAGGTTAGTAAGGAGGGCGGCATGAAGGAGGGCATAGCCCCACAGAGAAGGGGGGCATGAGGCGTGGACAAGAAGACACCGATCAGTTTTGGTGATCTTCCGAACACGGCTCTCAGCGACACCGTTCTGCTGTGGGGAGTGTGGGAGGGTGTAAGTCTGAAGAATGCCGCGGGATTGGCAATAGGAGGAGATTTTGTTGTTAAGGAACTCACCACCACCATCAGAGTGAAGGCGGCGAACAGGGTGTCCAAAATGGGTGTTCGCTTGTTCGAGCCAGGCAATGATCGCAGTCGGAGCGTCCGCCTTCGTTCGAAGGAGAGAGACGGACGAGTACCGACTGTGATCATCGACGAGCACGAGAAGGTAGCGATGGCCCTGGCGAGTGGGAGAGGGATTAGGGCCCCAGAGGTCCATGTGAACAAGGTCAAGTGGCTGGGCAGCAGCGGTGGGGGAGCTCCGGTGCTTCTGCTGCTTGAGCTTGCTCTGAACACAGACGGCGCAAGGGGGGGCAGGGGATTTGGGTAGGGGAGGGAGGGAGGAGGGGAGACCGTGGAGGAGACCAGAGGAGACAGAGGAGCGCAGAGTAGCGAAGTTGGGGTGACCTAGCCTGTGATGGAGGAGGATCGCAGGGTGAGAGAGGGAGCGACATGAGCAGTCAGAGTCAGGGGGGCGGGGGGGGACGGGTGGGTTAGTGGGAGGGAGGGGAGGAGTGGGGGGGAGGAGGGGAGGGGAGGCGAGGGGGCGGGGAACCCGAAGGGTGTACAGACGGGAGCGGGGACAATAGGGAATGCGAGAGAGGAAGCGACATGTGGAGGTTTGGTAAAGGTCACAATGGTTAGCACCACCTGGGGTGACAGTGGTGATCATGGATTGTTGGAGGGACCTTTGGGAGAGGAGGTTGGTGTGAAGGGAGGGAATGTGAAGACCTGTGACGGTACCTGAGGGAAAGAGAGGACAGGGAAGGGTGGACGTGTTGTGACAGGGGATGGAAAAGCTGCTATCAGCGCCGAGGAGGGACGTGGGTGTGGGGAGAGGATGGAGTGTGCCGGCATCTCGAAAGACATTGTCAGTGGCTCCACTGTCCAAGACGAACTCAAGGGTGGAGGAAGGTGAGGCGGAGTACTGGATTGAAGTTTCATTAATGGCAGGGGCATACATGGGGGATGCAACAGAAGGAGGCTGACTAAGCAAACCAACAAAGCCAGAGGAGGGAAAGGGGGTCACACTGCCACCTGTAGACGGCGCAGGGGATGGACCGGAGAGGTGGGCCGCGGAGGCCGCATTCCCGGCGGTCCAGCTGGGAAACGGCTGCTGCTGGGGGACAGGAGGAGGAGGGAGGAGAGGAAGCTGGGGCTGGAGGTCGAGCTGCTGCTGGAGCTGTTGAAGCTGCTGCTGGAGCTGCTGAAGCTGCTGCCCGTACTGCTGCTGGACAATCTGGTGCTGGTGCTGGTGCTGCTGCTGCTGTTGGGAGGGGAGAGCAAAGGCCTGGTGGGCCTGGGAGGAGGAGGAAGGGGCGTAGAGGGGAGAGGTGCGGACATCCAGGGGAGTGGGGCGGGGGTTGAGGGCGGACCAGCGAGGAGGGGTGCCAGAGTTCCCACGAGCGAACCACTCATCGCTGAGTGCCTTGAAGCACGTCTCAGTCGCATGAGTGGTTTGATTGCAGCGTTGGCCTCGGGTGGGGCCATAGAGGGGAAGGTACTGACAGGGTGGGAAGGCCGCTGCTGCACCACGACCCGCACCACCACGACCGCCAGAGCCGCCTCGACCACCACCACGCCCACCTCCACGCCCCCCCCCACGCCCGCCTATGTTGCTGCGCTGCTGTGCCGCTGCGGCAGTGGAGGAGGAGTGGCGCAGGATTTCAGCTTCAGTGGTGATGATCCATTGTGCAACTTGAGCGGGAGTGTCATGCTTGGAGAGGAGCTGCATGTATGCCAGCTTATGGGCATCGAAGGCAGGACTGAGACCCTCGAGAAGGTGGCAGCAGATGACGGTGTCATGGTAGACAACACCGAGCGCTGCAAGGCGGCGAGCGAGGTCAAGGACTCGGCGAGTAAAGGCAGCTGCGCCGGCGGTGAAATCCATGGTGATGGATCCGAATTCCTTAATGAGTGCATAGAGAGTGGCGATGTCCTGTCGGTCAAAGAGGTCGACTAACAGTTGCCACAGGTGGGAGGAGGAGGTGGGGGAGAGCTCTCGTTTGAGGGAGGAGGGGATGGTGGCGAGGAGGATAGCGAGGGCGCGACGATCAGCAACGCGCCACGCTGCGATATCAGTGGTGTAGGTGGCGAGGCGTGTAGTGTAAGTGGCGAACTGGGCTTGGTATTCACGGTGGCGGGCAGCAGCACTGTCGTAGATGCGCTTGTCATCGTCGTAGCGCAGTTGGCGGCGAAGGTGGTCGTTGAGTGAGGTGCGATAGGCACGAATGGCAGACTCCACGCTTTGCGGGTTGTGAACATCCGGCGCGAAGGAGGGGGGATCACCAGGAGGCTCGGGCTCGGGTCCGGGCTCATCGGGAGCAGGTCCAGTGGGGGCGGAAGGGGCGATGGGCTGGAGTCCACCCTCTTCCTGGAACACGACGAAGCGAAGGGTATATCCGCTGACGATGACCGAGGAGAGCAACACCTCGACGGAGTGAGCATAGGAGTGCCAGTTGGCGGCCGAGTTGTCGCCCAGCAGCACGAGAGCGTCAATGGTCGCTAGATCGACCGATGAGTCCGACGACGCCATGACGGCGGAGTGGTGAAGGCGCCGCTGCTGATGCCGCTGCTGCCGGTGCTGGTGCCGCTGCTGCTGCCGCTACCGGTGCCGCTGCTGCTGCCGCTGCTGCTGCCGCCGCCGATGCTGCTGCTGCTGCCGCCGCCGATGATGCTGCTGCTGCCGCCGCTGATGCTGCTGCTGCTGCCGCCGCTGCTGCCGCTGCCGGTGCTGCTGCTGGAGCCGCCGCTGGAGCCGCTGCTGCTGCCGCTGCTGCTGCCGCCGTCGATGCCGGTGCTGGTGCCGCTGCTGCTGCTGCTGCCGGTGCCGCTGCTGGTGCTGCCGCTGCTGCTGCTGCTGGTGCCGTTAAGGGTGGAGTAGGGGGAGGAGGAAGGGGGGGGGAAGAGAGGCTGGTGCGGAAGTGTGGGGAGGGGCGCGGGTGTGGGGCAGGATAGGGGGGGGGGGGGGAGGATTAGGGTTGCGGGGTCGTGGAGATCGCGGGCAGCCGAACGCGACGGCGCGCAGGTCAGCCGCGGCTCCGCGCCAGCCGTCCGCGTTGGCGCAGGGTCGTCGGCGGCCGCGCGCTGGCCGTCTGCGTCGGCGCGCGGTTCGTTCGTGGCCGCGCGCTGGCCGTCCGCGTCAGCGCGCGGCTCGTAGGCGGTCGCGCGCTGGCCGTCTGCGTCAGCGCGCGGCTCGGGCGGTCGCGCGCTGGCCGTCCGCGTCAGCGCGCGGGTCGTCGGCGGTCACGCGCTGGCCGTCCGCGTCAGCGCGCGGGTCGTCGGCAGTTGCGCGCTGGCCGGCCACGTCGGCGCGCAGGTCGCTGGCGACAGCGTGCTGATCGTCCGCGTCGGCGCGCAGGTCGCTGGTGGCAGCGCGCTGACCGTCCGCGTCGGCGCGCAGGTCGCTGGTGGCCGCGCGCTGACCGTCCGCGTCGGCGCGCAGGTCGTCCGCGACGGCGCGTCGGTCGTCCGCGACGGCGCGTCGGTCGTCCGCGACGGCGGGCAGAGCCGCGGGAAGGAGGATTAGGGTCGCAGGAGGAAGGATTGAGGCCGCGGGAGGGAGGATTGAGGCCACGGGAGGGAGGATTGAGGCCGCGGGAGGGAGGATTGAGACCGCGGAGGAGTAGATCTGAGCCGCGGAAGGCTAGATCTGAGGTGCGGGAGGGCGGTACTGAGCCGCGGAAGGCTAGATCTGAGGTGCGGGAGGGCGGATGTATGTCATAATCCGCTTGGGTAGAGGAGCGGGGAGTAACACACAGTCTAAGGATCGAGAGAGGACGGCGTGAGCCATTTGGCTCTGATACCATGATAGAATTCAAGAGTATGATTAGTAATGAGCCAACAAGGCTCTATAATACAAGCATGCAAGGAAGAGAAGGGTGGAGGAGGAGCTAACCCTATTGGCCACTAAGTTGGCCAATGGGTGAGGTGCCTTGTGGAGTAGGCAACCTCACAATGTGGCTAGGTTGGGATTGGTTGGTCTAAGGACCAAAAGTTGGCAAGTGCCAACCAAGGGCCAAGACCAAATCCAATCTTGACCAACCACAAAGTGTGGTTGGAGTGTACACCCAACCCCCCAAGAACCTAAAGGACTACACCTATTCTAGCCTATGAATGTTGTATATAGTGTACAATTACAACAGCTCTTTGGGTTTTTGTGTGTGGGGGTGTATGGTGAACGCGTGCAGTGGCAGGGACAGCAGCGGCGTGCCTCTCGTGGCGCTGTTTGGTGGTCCCAGCGACGGCCGGACGAGCAAGTGAGTTGGTTGTTAACAAGGTGACTTTTGAGTCGACTCAAAAGGCACCTCGTTTGGTGCTCCCAGCGACGGCCGGACGAGCAAGTGAGTCGGTTGTTAACAAGGTGACTTTTGAGTCGACTCAAAAGGCACCTCGTTTGGTGCTCCCAGCGACGGCTGGACGAGCAAGCGAGTTGGTTGTTTTCTTGGGAAAGTGCGTGTGTGTGTGTGTGTGTGTGTGTGTGTGTGTGTGTGTGTGTGTGTGTGTGTGTGTGTGTGTGTGTGTGTGTGTGTGTGTGTGTGTGTGTGTGTGTGTGTGTGCGAGCTTAGCTCTGATCGCCAAGCAGCAGGCGGCGACAGCAAAGATCTCGGACGAGGATCTTCTGAGGCTGCAGTGGCTGGCAGAGCTGCAGGTGCTGCAAATTCATTTACCATACCTCCTCACCCTGCAGCCTTCCGCTTTTCCCTTTCCTTCCCCCCCCTTTCCAACAAACAGGCGGCGTGTTGAAGTGATAGAGTTTCTGGTCGAGAGAGAGTTCAATCTGGCGCTGGAGGTGATCCACTTCCTGCACCGGCTCCCATGCACTGGCTGGTCATTTACCCTGGATTTTTCTCTTCTTCCTCCGTATCAACAGGCGGCGTGTTGAAGTGACAGAGTTTGTGGCGGAACGAGAGTTCGATCTGGCGCTGGAGGTGATCAACTTCCTGCATCTGCCGGCCGTAGGCAGCTGCTTATTTCTATGTTTGGACCTCTGTCTCCTCCCCCACCAACAGGCGCCGTGTGGAGGTTACTGAATTTCTCGTGGAGAGAGAATTCGACCTGGCGCTGGAGGTGATCAACTTCCTGCACCTGCCAGCTGTGCAGATCTACGCCAGCGTGGCAGCCTCGCTGGCGGAGAAGCAGCAACACCGCGTGCTGTTTGAGGGGTTGATGGATCGGATCAAGTACATGCTGCCGCCCGCTGACATGGATGAGGTGAGCTGTGAGCTGTGGGAGATGAGTGCATTCGTTGCTTGGGGAAATTCCTTCCTTTGCCTTGAGAGAAGCAGCAGCACCGTGTGCTTTTTGAGGGGCTCATGGATCGGATCAAGTACATGCTGCCGCCCGCTGACATGGATGAGGTGAGCTGCGATGAGACGACTCAAACGAGAGCTGGGAGACTCATGGGTGTCATGTATTCCTTGCTCTGAGGAGTCTCTCTCTCCATTGCAGGTCTTCATTCATCGTTTCCCCCTCCATCGTTTCCCCCTCCTCTGGAATTCCGCACACGTGTCCTCAGGTGATTGGAGCAGCAGTGATGGTCTACACCCACACCGCCGTCAAGCTCTCTACTCTCTCCCTGACCTTCACCGGGCGGCAAGACATGTCCCGATCTGTGAAGCTGCCAAAGGAGCAAATTGACCGACTCATCCACATGCTGTCAGACGAGCACAAGTGAGTCAGACGAGCACAAGTGAGTCAGACGAGCACAGGTGAGTCAGACGAGCACAAGTGAGTGAGACGAGCACAAGTGAGTCAGACGAGCACAGGTGAGACAGACGAGCACAAGTGAGTGAGACGAGCACAAGTGAGTGAGACGAGCACAAGTGAGTGAGACGAGCACAAGTGAGTGAGACGAGCACAAGTGAGTGAGACGAGCACAAGTGAGTGAGACGAGCACAAGTGAGTGAGACGAGCACAAGTGAGTGAGACGAGCACAAGTGAGTGAGACGAGCACAAGTGAGTGAGACGAGCACAAGTGAGTGAGACGAGCACAAGTGAGTGAGACGAGCACAAGTGAGTGAGACGAGCACAAGTGAGTGAGACGAGCACAAGTGAGTGAGACGAGCACAAGTGAGTGAGACGAGCGCAAGTGAGTCTTTTGATTTGCGTAAGTCTGCTTAGTTCAAGTAAGTCTGTTAGCTTTCATCCCGCTGTGTGCGCACATGCTCTCATCCACATGCTGTCAAACGGGCATAAGTGAGCCATTTCACGTAAGTCACTTCACATAAGTAAGTCCCTCTGCTGAAGTGAGTCGGCTAGCATAACTAGCCTTGTGCTAACTCCTTTATCCACCCTGCTCATGCCTCTCCAAATCTCCCTCCCACCTTCCAGGAAGGTTCTCTTCAATGTGGCATGTCGCAGGCTGCGCCTGGCCTTTCAGATCGCCACGGGGCACTTCCAGTCTCAAGGTAGCCAGGGGGGTGTGGCTGCAAGTGCCGCAACCCCCGCTGCTACCAGCAGCAGCGGCGGCAGCAGCAGCGGTGGAGCGGGGTTTGGGCTGGTGTACCCTTTACAGAGTCGCATCAACGATGTGATTTTCATCATGCACGAAGCTCGGAACGCACCCAAGGTCCGGGAGCTGTGTCGTGAGTGGCTGGCGGCTCGGGGCGTTGTGATTGACAATGTGGAGCCGCACTCACAGCCTCACTTGCTCCCTTACACCCACGCATGGCCTCTTGGGCACGGGGCACAGCTGCCGCCACAAGCCCTGCGCTAGTACCTAGTATCTGGCCTCTGTAGTTGTTGTGTGGAGTGGCTGGCAGGTCGAGGCGTTGTGATTGACAATGTGGAGAAGCACTCACAGGCTCATTTGTTACCTCATCAGGCATGGCCTCTTGGGCACGGGACACAGCAGCCGCACGCCCTGCGTCAGTAGTTTAGCTGTTGTGGTTTGATCTGCCAGGAGTGGCTGGCGGCTCGGGGCGTTGTGATTGACAATGTGGAAAGACACGCACAGCCTCACTTGCTCCCTCATCAGGCATGGCTCCTCGGGCAAGGGACACAGCCCCCGCAAGCCCTGCGCCAGTGATTTAGCTTTTGTATGTTGATGCCATATTGGAAGGAATATCGCTGGATGTTTGTGTGGGCATGATCCCCGCTGTAGGATCCTCAATACTAGCTAGTGAGGCACCTTTTCCCCCGCAGCCACCTCAATCCTTACCGTGTTATGTATGTATGGTGTTTTTTACGCACTCAAAATTTGCCCAATGTGGACTCAAAGCACCAAGACATACAGTATCTTGACACTTTTGCTATAGCCTCTCCACTAGCTGTCATGTGGTCCACACCGCAAACGATGCACGACAGTAAACCTCTACTTGCTGATTCCTAGCCTGCCGTATCTGGCTTTTGAAAAAAAAAGATATACAGCTATTTCTGTGCAATGTGCTCCAGAACATTTCGAAGACATCCACAAGAAGACAAGCTCTTCCATGCTAAACCGAAGCAGCAGCCATAGCCATGAGTGCATAGAGAAGGGCAGACGCATTGTGGTAAGTGGTGTGCAGGGCGGCAGCTGGCAGGCAGCTGGCAGCACGTTATTGGAGTGGACGGCGAACAGGCAGGTGGCAAAATCCAAGCGCCATGCTGGGAAAGAGGAGGGAGAGGGAGAGGTGGAAGAGGGCGACGAGCGCTCCAGACAGCATGGCAGCGTTGATCCTGAGGGAAAGAGAGGCATGGAAGGGGATAGCATAGGGGGGGGAAGTTAGTCAAACAAGACTTGGCCTGCTGACTTGATTTGACAAAAGCATGCTTTGTGTTGACTTACTGACTTCAGTTCCGAATAGGCAAGGGTAAGAACAAAATTACCCAACCCAGTGGAATTGGATTGCTAGGAAAGAGTGTGCTTGGTGAGGTGTGGAAATTACCCAACTTAGAACAAAAGCAAACCTCTTGCCAAACCTCAAGCCTCTCGCGAGCCTGCCTCGCCTCTCACCTGCCAAACCTCTCACCTGCCAAACCTCTCACCTGCCAAACCTCTCACCTGCCAAACCAGTGTCGCTTCGCAGGCTGAAGCAGAGGCAGCTGTAGCAGCTACACCCCCTCCGGTCCCATCAGGCAGCAACAAATGACATAGCAACAAGGCCGTAGCACTCATGCTATCCCCTCCGCCTCCTCCTGCTGCTCATGCTCCTCCTGCTGCTGCTCCTCCTGCTGCTGCTCCTCCTGCTGCTGCTCCTCCTGCTCCTGCTGCTGCTGCTGCTGCTGCTGCTGCTGCTGCTGCTGCTGCTGCTGCTGCTGCTCCTCCTCCTGCTGCTGCTGCTGCTGCTGCTGCTGCTGCTGCTGCTGCTGCTGCTGCTGCTGCTGCTGCTGCTGCTGCTGCTGCTGCTGCTGCTGCTGCTGCTGCTGCTGCTGCTGCTGCTGCTGCTGCTGCCGCTAGTTCTGGTAATACCCCTGCCGTCTCCCCTCCACCGCTTGGTTTAAGAGACACAAGCGAAAAAGCAGAGCCCATAGAATAGGACCCCTTTCCGCCCCTGCCACAAGCCACAGCAGCCCATCAGCACTGCCCTACAGTTTGACCCCAAACTTCTCCTCAAACAGCTTGTCTGAACAGTGAAGAAACTGGCACAAACACACCGTTTTCTTAGTAGCCTCCAAGTTCACAAGCTGCTGCGCTGGTGCAACTCTCAACCCAAGCTCGGTATTGCTTGAAACAACCCCAAATAACGGTCCACTCTTTCTTTCTTCTGCTCCCCATTCACCCTCTACTTTCTCCACAATGGTAGACACAGAATCCAGCTTGCTCCTTTGTTTCTCAGCTCCAACACTCGTCCGACTGGCCATCTCGCGTGCCACAACCTCATAGCCCATTCGCACCAGTGCCGATGACCATTGTTCGGCTAGCTTAGCCTCCTCCGTCCCTCTTATTGCCAGCAAGGGGCAGTACAGGAATCTTGACCTGTTGTCCATCGACTGCGCCGTTCGGCTTGATCTTAGGTCCTGACTCACCCTCCGTGGACGAGCCTTGCGGAGGAACCCTTGGGTTTTCGGACATGCCGCAGTCTGATTCGCCGGTCCAAACTCAACCCAAGAAAAGAAGGGTATGCAATAATCTCCATTATAGAGAGCCCCATGTCCCGTTTTAGGTACTCCACCTTGGGCTTCAAGTTCACTTTCCAACTGTAATGGATAGATGCCGGGTACCTCATAACCAGATCCACCACCAATGAGCCCTGCATCTCTCGACGCTTAGTCTTCGGAAATCATTTTCCTCTGCCAAACAATTACCTCAATCACCTTCCCCCAACATTTGCCTCCCACTTCCCACTTCTCCACTGCTCTCCAATGCCTCTTCCACTTCTCGCACAAGCTCTCTGAAACTTTCCCTTATGGCATCTTCACTAGCACTCATCAGTGTCGGAAATCGTGCCACCACCCGGACAGCATTCTCTCGGCCAATCAAATCAGCCAATACCGCCACCTTGCCATGCACATTCTTCTTCGATAGTTTCAGAACCTGCGAGTAACTCCTTGCCACTCTTCCTGTTGCCTCCTCCCCCACCAGCTCCACAAAGAACTGGAGCTTAGCTAAAAGAGCTTCTTTGCTAAACCCGAGGATGTTGGGGGCACGATGAAGCACAGAGCTCGCAATGGAGGGGGTGCCTGGGGGAGTGAAGGACTGGAGAATGGCGATATTCTCTGCGATGTGATAGGGATGAAGAGTGACGATGGCAGGACAGTTAACGATAAGCCTGCTTAGGTGGCTTGTGTCCAGATGCGGCTCATCTTGTTGCTGCTGCAGGAGGCCTGTGCTGCTACTAACTGCTTCTACCTTAGTTCCACACCCCGCGTTAAAATAGACTGACAGTGCGTCAAGCTGAGTACTCACCGCCTCTTTTCTCCGATTCAAGATGGACGGACATCTCTCTATAATCACACCCAGCTTGTCCACAGGAACCCCTGCCTTCTCCACCAAAATGTCCAGGTTCGTTGAATGTGGCTCACAGCAGAGTAAGTTCCATCCAAGTCGGAGGACCATGCCCAATTTGCTACGGTGGACGCCATGAGCCAAAAGAAACTCAAGGGTGTATCGAATCTGTCGGAGGGAGACTCGGAGCCAGTTTGGTCCTTTCTCAGTGATGAAGGCAATGTCGGCACGAGATATGCCGTATGACTGGAGGAGACGGACACGTGGCAAGAGGTCATTGGCGGGATTGGAGCGCAGGAGTTGGGGCTTATAGGCGAGGAGGGAAGCGACAGTGGAAGGGGAGGAGATACCGAGGTGGGAGGAGAAGAAGCGGTAGAGGGAGAGGAGGGAGGAGGGAGATACGACCCGCCGGCTCTTGATTGGAGAAGGAGGGGGTGTGGGAGGAGATGTGGCGACAGGTGCATCCTCCTCACTCGCTTCTGCTTCTTCTTCTTCTTCCTCCCCAAATCCTTCTACACTCTCCTCCTCGTCTTCCCCCTCCTCCTCATTTCCCCCATCTTCCTCTTCCGCCTCTTTCACTGTTCCCCTGATCAATCTGTCCCCATTGCTTCTTATATCACTCTCCCACTCCTCCAACTCCCCTCTAACAATCTGAGCCCCGAATTTCTCCCTCAGCACTTCAGCAATCACTGCCACTGCCTCCTCCTCCTCCTTGCAGCCTTTCGTCCCGTAGCTCTTCCTCCTGCCTCCCTCACTCTTCCCCTTGCCTCCCTCACTCTTCCCCGCTGCATTCCCGGCTACTACCCTCTCAACCCTCTCATCCCCACCTCCCTTTTCTCCCCCTTCCAATTTCCTGATGCTCCTCTGACCTCCTCCCCTATCCACCCTCTCCTCGTCCTTCACTGTACACGTTTTAAGCTCCGCTTGCACTGCTACTAGAGGCCTGCTTCTGGGAGGTGATTTTGACCCAGAAAATGCAGTCTCCGCCTCGGACGCTTCTGCATCTGCTGGTCTGGAAGACGCAGCAGCCGCGGACCACGCCACGAAGCTTCGGCCGTGGGATGAAAACGTCTTTCGAGGCGCCTCGAAGTTTCCACATGGATTTCGGAGTTGAAAAGACGTGCTTCGCGCATATTCGTTTGGATTCGATCCGAACCGATCGAGGCTTGGCAAGGAAGGAACGTAAGATCGCGTAAGGAGGCTGGGAATCGAACCTACAATTTGCCGTGACGTATGAGGTAGGACCAGCCATAGAAAACGGCGTGCTGATCTACGCGAGGCGACGTAAAAGCTCATGAATCCGTTGATTTCGTTGCATTCGTCGAATTCGTCAAATTTAGCCTGGATCCTCGCTAACCTTAGCTAGCTAGTGACGCGAAACGTGAACTCGCAATTGGCCTGTGCGGATTCGATCATCGAAATCTGACGGTGCGGATTCGATAATCGAAATCTGACGACTATCAGGGAATACGTATCTCAATGAATTATTGATGCCTCGAGCTACTATTCTAGCTGGCAACTAGCTTCTATGGGACTACCAACGAAAACAGCATGACGCTCACCAAGATCAAAGGGCGTGGCTATATCAGGTGCTTTGTAGAACGCTCGAATACGTATACAGAGTGGTTGAGCTAGGTGCTATGCCAATTCCTGCTTATGTGAACTCTCTTCTGTATGGGGACTTTTCGCCAGTCAAGTGTCGGGGTCTTGGGATTTGACCGAACGCAACGAGACGCAGATACTATTTTCGCCAAAAAACCTGTAACCGTGGCTGCTTCGCATTTATGCATCGCGAGATAAATGCAACCAGAATGATTCGCATTCTCGCCAAGGAGGTGCTGGTGTGACCATGATCCCCGCTATACGATCCCGAGTACCTTTCTAGATTTTGAGGCATCTGTTCCCCCACACCACAAGCCCTACTGTGTTATAGGAAGCAAAGGTGGTCTAAGAAAGTAACGAGATTTACACAAGGTGGTCTCTAATTCAAAAGCCCTTGTACCGTACCTCATTCCTTTTCGTATGAATGCATATACAATGTGACGCCATCTCTATATCACAAAAAGACATACAGTTGCAATAACTTCTCCACTAGCTGTCATATGATCCATACCGAGGGAACTGACGACAGTAACTTCATTAATTGCTGCTTCTTGCTCTATCATAAACCCTGATAAGATCCTTACGTGTTGACTCAAGGGACCTTTCAGATGGCGTAGGCAGAGTGATATCAGCTCAGATTTCACACTTTGACCCCTAACTTCTCCAACTGTTTGTCTCTACCCCAAAGAAACTGCTGCAAGCACACAGCTTTCCTGGCCGCCTCCAGATTCACAAGCTGCTGCTCTTGGACATTTCTCCCTCCTGGCTCGTCACTCCCTAGGAAACCCCCAAGTAACAGTTTATTGCCACTATCCTCCCCTTGGCATTCCTGCTATTGCCTGTCACCCATTCCTTCATTCTTTCCTTTCTTCCTCTCTGCTTTCAATCCTCTCTAACCCCTCCACTTTGTCAGACACAGAACCCAGCTGGCTCCTCTCCTCTCCAGCTCTCGTCGAAACAGCCTTCCTGTCTCCAACACAGCCATAGCCCTGCGGCAATCCCAAGGGCCATGCTGGGGAAGAGGAGGGAGAGGGAGAGGTGGAGGAGGCCGAAGAGAGCTGCAGAGAGCATGGCAGCGCCCATCCTGGGGGGAAAGAGGCAGGAAAGGGGATAGTGCGGGAGAAAAGAGGGGAAAGATACAAGAGGGACGATATCAAGTGAGTGAAGAAGGGAAAGAAGAGTGATATTGGATTGATGAGAGAGCGCGAGCGCTATGGGAATGGAGGAAGTTATCAAACCCAAAAAGATGGTCGTAGTGGAGCCTTGCCAAACCTCACTACCGAGCCTCCTGCCGAGCCTCTCACCTGCCGAGCTTCTCTTGTAGGGCCGTGAGCAGCAGCCCTCTGAACAGCAGCTCCTCCGCTACAGACAGTGACACCGCCACCCACAGAAACAGCTGTAGCAGGTCCAGCAGAGGCAGGGCTGCGACAGCTGTAGCAGAAGCAGCTGTAGCAGCCACAACCCCTCAGGTCCCATCGGGCGGCAACAAAGGACCCTGCAATAATGCTGTGGCACCAACACCTAGCGGCCTGACAGTTTGATATTCACAGTGTGGAGGCACAGACTCAGGCATTGGCACACACCCTCACACTCAGGCATGGACTGGGGCCCGGGGCACATTGGAAGCCTTCGAAGCCTAGCCCTACTGTTTGACCCCAAACCTCTCCTCAAACTTCTTGTCTGTGAAGTGAAGAAACTGGTGCAGGCCTACCCTTTTCTTTGACACCTCCAGATCCAGAAGCTGCCGCTCCGTAACAACTCTCTCCCCTGTCTCATCATTGCTCCCGAACGGCCCACTCTTCCCTTCTTCCGCTCCCCATACAGTCCCCTCTACCCCCTCCACATTGCCAGACACAACACCCAGCTTGCTCCTCTGTATCCCAGCTTCAATCGAGTCATCCTTCCTGTCTCCAACACTCATCCGGCTTGACATCTCGCGTGCCACAACCGCATAGCCCATTTGCACCAGCGCCACATGTCGCGGTCTGATTCGCCCATCCAAACTGTACCCAAGAAATGGAGGGTAGTCAAGCACCTCCATTATAGAGAGCCCCATTTCCCGTTTCAAGTACTCCACCTTGGGCTTCAGGTTCGTTTTCCAACTGTAATGGATAGACGACGGGTACCTCATAACCAAATCCACCACCAACCGATGAGCCCTGCATCTCTCAACACTTTGTGCTCGAGAGTATTCCCCCCCTGCCAAACAGTTACCTCTATCACCTTCCCTCAACATTTGCGTCCCACTTCCCTCTTCTCCGCTGCTCCCCAATGCCTCTTCCACTTCTCGCACAAGCTCTCTGAAACTTTCCCTCACGCCACTTTCACTAGAACTCATTAGCGTAGGAAATTGTGCCACCACCCGCACAACGTTTTCTTGGCCAATCAAATCAGCCAATGCCGCCACTTTACCTTGCAGATTCTCCCTCGATAGTAGCAGAACCCCTGGGTAAATCCCCGCCACTCTTCCTGCCCCTTCCTCCCCCACCAGCTCCCCAAAGAATTGGAGCTTAGCCAAGAGAGTTTCTTTGCTGTAACCAAGAATGCTCGGGGCGCGACGAAGCACAGAGCTCGCAACGGAGGGGGTGCCTGGGGGAGTGAAGGACTGCAGAATGGCGATATTCTCTGCAATGCGATAGGGAGATTTTGAGAGAATGAATGGACAGTTCAGGATAAGCTTGCTAAGGTGGCTCTTGTCCAGATGCGGCTCATGTAGTCGCTGCTTCAGGGAGCTTGTGCTGGAAGTATCCGCTTCTACCTTCCTTCCAGATCCCGCGTAGAGATAGGCTGATAGCATCTCAAGCTGCATTTTCACCGTCTCTTCACTCCGAGTCAAGATGGCCGGCCATCTCTCTATAATCACACCCAGCTTGTCCACAGGAACCCCTGCCTTCTCCACCAGAATGTCCAGGTTCGTTGAATGAGCCTCATAGCAGAGTAAGCCCCATCCGTACAAAAGCACCGAGCCCAATCTGCTTTGGCGGATGCCTTTAGCCAAGAGAAACTCAAGCACACTCTGAATCCGTGGCAGGGAGGATCGGAGCCAGGCTGGATTTCTCAGAGTCATGTGCACGATGTCAGCATTGGAAATGCCGTATGATTGAAGGAGATGGACACGTGGCAGGAAGTCATTGGTGGGATTGGAGCGGAGGAGTTGGGGCTTATAGGTGAGGAGGGAAGCGACAGTGGAAGGCGAGGAGATGCCGAGGTGGGAGGAGAAGAAGCGGTAGAGGGAGAGGAGGGAGGAGGGAGATACGACCCGCCGGCTCTTGGCTGGAGATGGAGGGGGTGTGAGAGGAGATGTGGCCCCGGGTGCATCCTCGTCACTCGCTCCTGCTCCTTCTTCTTCCTCCCCAAATCCTTCTACACCCCCCTCCTCCTCCTCTTCCTCCTCCTCTTCCTCCTCCTCCTCATTTCCCCCATCTTCCTCTTCCGCCTCTTTCACTGTTCCTCTGACCAATCTGTCCCCACTGCTAGTTATATCACTCTCCCACTCCTCCCACTCCTCTCTCACAATCTGAGGCCCGAATCTCTTCCTCAGCACTCCAGCAATCACTGCCACTGCCTCCTCCTCCTTCTCCTCCTCCTTGCAGCCTTTCCTCCCGTGTCTCTTCCTCATGCCTCCCTCACTCTTCCCCGCTGCATTCCCAGCTACTACCCTCTCAACCCTCTCATTCCCACCTCCCTTTTCTCCCCCTTCCACTTTCCTGATCCTCCTCCGCCCTCCTCTCCCATCCCCCCACTCCTCGTCCTTCACTGTACGCGTTTTAAACTCCGCTTGCACCGCTATTAGAGTCTTGCTTTTGGGAAGTGATTCCGACCCAGAGATAGCAGTCGCTGCCTCGGAAGCTTCTGCGCCTGCTGCCCTGGAAGACGCACCAGCGGCAGACCATGCGGCGAAGCTTCGGACTTGGGATGAAAAGGTCTCATGAGGTGTCTCTAAGCTTCGGCATGGGTTTCGGATTTGAAAAGACGCGGTTCGCGCAGGTTCGTTTGGATTTGATCCGATCTGATCGTGGCTTGACGAGAGAGGAACAGAAGATCGCGATGCTATTCGGTGCGTTTGAGATGTTACACATATTCGATCGACAAATGGCCGTGACGCATGGGGTAGAACTAGCCATAGCCAACGGTGAGCTGACCTGCGCGAGGCGACGTAAAAGTTCATGAATGCGTTAAACTCGTTGCATTCGTCGAATTCGTCTAATCCGTCCTATTTATCGTGTATGCCAGGACCCTCGCTGATCTTGGGTGGCTGGTGAAATCTCGAGTTACCTACGCGAGTACGGATTGAATGATGGATAGTTGAAGACTATCTCAGGGGGATTGATGCCTCGAGCTCCTATTTTAGGCTAAGTATTTTACTAGGTAACTCTTTTTTAGGTAGCGTCTAGCTGTCCTGTGATGTGGACTGGGTTTCCTGGGGACTAAATGAGACGAGTGTGATGATCAGTGTCCAGGAGTGCGGCTTAATCAGGTGCGTTGCGTTTACAGACTCTATAATTACACAGAATGGTTGAGCTAGGTGCCGAGCAATTACCATTTTCCACTCTGGTGAATGCTTCCCCCTAATCGTCAGCCCTGGGGATTCCCGAGGTGAGCACTTCCACCCAACTGTCGGAATTTGACCGAACAAAACGAGCTCTGATAGTTTTGTCGCCAGGACTTGTAACTCTGGTTGCTGCGCATTTCTACATCGCGGGAAAACACACAACTTCGTTCGCCAGGCCCATGGGTTGTTGTTGTCGTCTCGTCTCTTCGCTAACGAAGAGCCAGGCTTCGCCGTCGCGAAAACAGTGCGTCGCGAGGAAATGCTCGGAATATGAACCAGTTTGATCGAGGTGTTTGAAACGACCCTCGCGGCTGGTACGACCGATACAATCCGAACCGACATACACACAAAAAAGGGAACAGTAAGATGCTACCGCTGTTTATTCCTGCAAAACACAGGGTCGACTTCCTGTCCGTCTGTTATCAACAGGTGTGCGATTTTCAGTAGTGCTAGTCAAATTTCACGTTTTACTTTTCTGAAAACGAGCGTAGAAGCATTAGAGTGTTTCAGGCAGTCTAGAAAACGAGCTTAGGAGCATCGGAGCGCGCGCCGCCATCATGTGGCACGAGGCGCGGCGGTCGGAGAAGCGCGTGCACGAGATGATGGACGCGGCGAAGAAGCGCGCCGAGCGGCGCGCGGATCAGCGGTCTCGGCGCGCGGGGGATCCGACGCAGCTGCTGCGCGTGGCGGGCACCAAGCTCCGCCTGGCGCACGACTCCGCCGTCTACCAGTCCGCGCAGGACCTCTCCGGCCTGTCTGTGACCCCTTATCCCTCCACCCTTTCAAGATATCAAATCAGTGGACTTCGCGGCCTGTCTGTGACCCCCTATCCCTCTACCCTTTCTTTGGATTCACGGAGAGGAGGCCTGTCTGTGACCCCTCTCCTTTCCACCCTTCCAAGGCTGGCCATCGCCTAATAGGCATTCCCCTGACTTGTCTCCACGGGCTCATAAGCCTGTCTGCGACCCCTCTATCCCTCTAGTGTTTTAATCGCCGCCTTCACCGTGCCGTGCCCTATTGCCTTCCGGTGCATCCCCCCTTGTTCACTCCCCTTCCCTATTCCCCTCTTTCTCTCGCTCTCCACTTCTCCTCTTCTCATCCCCCCCCTCCCGCCCTCACCCTCCTTCGCCCCTCCCCCCTTCCCCCTCAAATCGCCTTTCCGATTCTCCCTCTTCCCCCTGCTTCCTGCGCTCGTTTTCTCATGTAACTCCCATTTTCGTTGGCCATTCTATGCATCACATGTGATCTGCAGTAACGCCATTTGAGTTGACGGATGTTATGTTTACATTCAATAACAGATTATGTTTTTGTATTGACCCTTTTTTTATATTCTTTTCTTTCGGTGTCGTGCTAGGATCTGCCCGCGCTGCGCTATTTCCGTCACGTGTTTCGCTATGCTAATGCCCCTCCTTTTTTCTTGCCCTCCTGCTGCCTTCCCTCCCTTTTCTCTCCTCTTCACCTCGCTTTCCTCTGTTTCGCGCTTTGCTGCTTCTGGCTGTGCCTCGCTCCTTCCGCTGTGCTCCGTGTCCCGTACTCCTCTCTCCTTTCTCTCGTCTGGTGCGGCGCATCCCGTTCCACCCCGCTCGACGGCCCCTGCAGCATTCCATGGAACAACAGAGAAGACACGCTCATAGACAGGTAAGTGGGCGAGCGTCGTAATCCAGTTCAGCAAAAATAAAAAAAATCAATCAGGACACGCTCATAGACAGGTATAAAGTGTAATGGGACAATATAGAAGGTGTGTTGTTTACAACGTGTTCCAGCTGCTGCTGGTCAGTCATTGTCAACTTCACACACCTGACAATTATGGCTTTCTGTGGCACTTCAAGAAAATGGCATTCCTTCATAAGCGCGGGCCATGGCAGTTAGGTATAATTGGTGCTCCCCATGTGCGTTCCTTCCATGCCTGATGTATTTATTTCGCGACATTTATGTATCTGAAGTGCTTCTCCCACCCACCCCTACCCATTTCCACCACCATTGACCACTCTCTGGCACAGGTACGACGGGCAAGCCATGCTGGATTTTATTCGGGATTAAAAATCATACAGGCATGGGGCAAGGGAGCTGAGCCATGCCCACTCTCAGACCGCCACCCATCTTTCCCCCATCTCCCTCTTTTCATAACCCCCACCTGTGACAACACAGGTACGACGGCCGTGCGATGCTGGATTTTATCCGGGAATATGATCCGCACAGGCATGGGGCGAGGGAGCTGACAGAGCCGCCCAGCACCAACCTGTTACCCGTCTATACCCCCTGTCCCTGTGCATACCCCCACCTGCGAGTTGACTTTTGAGTCGACTCAAAAGCCAGCACCAACCTGTTACCCGTCTATCCCCCTTGTCCGTGCGCATACCCCCACCCGTGACAACACAGATATGACGGGCGGGCTATGCTGGATTTCATTCGAGAGTATGATCCGCACAGGCACGGGTCGAGGGAGCTCACAGAGCAGCAAGAGGAGGAGGAGGAGGAGGAGGCGTGTAACTTTGAGCGGTATCGAGACCTTGTGCGGCTGGGCTGGCATGCAAGTGAGTAGCCTTTTCTGCATATTGAGTGAGAGAGAGGAGCAGCAAGAGGAGGAGGAGGATTTGTGTAACTTTGAGCGGTACCGAGACCTTGTGCGGCTGGGCTGGCATGCGAGTGAGTAGCCTTTTCTGCATATTGAGTGAGAGAGAGGAGCAGGAGGAGGAGGAGGCGTGTAACTTTGAGCGGTATCGAGACCTTGTGCGATTGGGCTGGCATGCGAGTGAGTAGCCTTACCTGTGTTGTTGTGTCGCTAGGGTTTTGTGTTCCGTGTATTTAACAAGAGAGTGGAGGAGGAGGAGGCGTGGAACTTTGAGCGGTACCAAGACCTTGTGCGGCTGGGCTGATAGTTGATAATACTTGGGTCTTACTTACGTGTTGATTAATGATAGAGGAGGAGGAGAAGGAAGCAGAGGTTGAAAGGAACAGAGGCAGGGACGGAGGAAGAGGAGCAGGAGGAAGATGATGCACGCAACGCATTTCAATTCAGAACTTCTCACCTGTCACACAATGCTACATCACAAGTAAAGCACTATGATGGATTATACGCTTTGGTGCTTAAGCGTTTAGCGTTTGTACGCTAGCGTGTACACGCTAAACGCGAAACGCTAGCGAAAACGCTATACGCAGCCCATATTTTTTTGGGGGCTGCCCGCCTACCCAAAAAAAAATCGAATAGCTCAAAAGCAGCGGAATTGCACGACGAGCAATTCTGTGAACTCAGATTGCACGTCAAGTGTCTGTCGTGGCTGGAAATTGGATTCATGACCTGGAGTCGCGTTTATCACCTTCACATTTTGCACGTTCAGAATTGCATGGTCAAGTATGTCGAGTCGCGCAAGCACGTTGCTACAATTCAATCGCTCCACTTCACCGCATTCAAACACACATCATCTATCCAGTCCAACCATTCGTGTCCTCATCCCCGTCACCCAGCATGCTATTAAAGCTCAAGACCCAAATTGCGCAAGATTACTAATCTTGCGTAAGTTTGAGTGCTGAGGGGTGGGTAGAGTCGAGGAGAGTGTTGGGAAGGTGACCTGTCTGATTTCGCCCGTAACACTTGGTTTTTTCGCTGAGTCAGCGAACTTCAGGGGGAAACGTGGGTTTGGGGACCTGGAGTCCCAAATTGCAGAGTAGTAAAACTCGATGCTTTGGCAGTGAGTCTGGCTTCGACCAATCAGATTGCATCTCACCTATTGTAACCAAATTTTCGCCACACACCAGCACAGAAAACGAGAAGTGTGCAAGATTACTAATCTTGCCCTGCGCGGCCCGCAATTTGGGCCTTGAGCTTTAAGCCACTCGTCAAAATGTCAATCTCATTCGGTTTTCACCTCCCGCTAGCTAGTTAGCATAGCACGCTCCTACGACTATGTCCTCCTCTCCATCTCCCACTTCGCCTTCCGTCCAGACTGTGGAGAGTGCGAGGGATCGTCCCGCTGCGTCACGGGAATACCTTCCCGATGTAGCACACCCAGTGTTTAAGCACTTCAGGCTCATCAAGCGGGAGGAGGGCAAGGCACAGCAGTACGAGTGCAAATACTGCCCCCTTGTCTTCTGTGGTGCCGCCATCCGTTGCGCTCAACACCTGACGTCATGGAAGACAAAAAAGCGCCGGGAGGTGACGCTTTGCAAGAATGCCCCGGCTGATGTTCGCCTCGCGATGAAGACCAAGTACGAGAAGCAGGCCGCAGATGCAGATGAGAGGCGGCGATCGACTGAGGCTGCGATTGCCTCGGTGACACCAGGTGGGAAGCGGTCCCGCATAACCGACTATCTCGCGGGCGACACTGCATCGGCAAGACGCGAAGCACATCAGTCGCTTGCGCTGATGTTTGCGGGATGTCACATCCCGGAGCAAATCGTCGACCATCCTCTCTTCGTCAACGCAATCAGAGACGTCGCCCGCGCCGGCGAAAACTATGTTCCACCAGGCCGGAAGTACATCGGCGGTAGTGGACTTCAAGCATGCCGCCGTGGCATCGAAAGCGGGTTGGTGGGCATCAGAGCAAGCTGGAAAAAGGTTGGAGTAACTGTCGCGTCCGACATGATGACGGACAGAAACGGGAGGCCGCAGGCTAATGTCTTCCTCGTTAACGACGCGGGCGCCGTCTTGCATGTGTGCGTGGACTGCAACATGGAGAAGAAGACAGGCGGATACATAGCGGGGTTACTAAGGCCCGTGGTGGAGGAGGTGGGGCCGGAGAACATCGTCGCTTTTTGTATGGACGGCGGCTCCAACTACGCGGTTGCGTGCCAGCAGTTGGTCGCAGAATGGCCCCACATTCAGATTGTCCCTTGTGCGACCCACGTCCTGGATCTCCTCATGGAGGATGTGGGGAAGCTTGGGTGGGCGAAAGGGGTGGTGGATCGGGCTGGGGAATTGAGTTCCTTCGTCCGCAACCACCACTGGACGCGGGGGTACTTGCGGACGCCGGCGCTGGTGGAGGGGACCGTGCTGCAGGCGTTGAAGCCAGCGGGGACACGCTTCGGGACACAGTATATAACTGTTTCTCGCCTGTGTGCCCTTCGTAACTCCCTTACCCAGATGGTGCTCTCCGACCTGTGGAAAGATTGGGCGGTGGGGGATCGAAAGAAAGCAGCGGATGGGTTTGCCGCGCATGTACTCGATGCGGCTTGGTGAAAGACCGCAGAGTTCTTCACGAAGCTCATGAAGCTCCCCTTCATCGCGATGCGGCAGACGGATGGGAGCGCAACGGGGATGATGGGGCGAATGTACGACATAATGCTCCAACTTACCGAGGATGTGGAGGCCCTTGTCGACGCGGATGAGGAGCAGTTGTCCAGCACCGACAAGCAGCAGATCCGCAAAATCCTGAAAGACAGGTGGGACGGGAGTCTTGCATGCGCCATGCACGTGGCGGGACGCATCCTCAACCCCGCCAACCAAGAGGAGGACATCTTCGGCGGGGATGCGGAATGCACAAGGGTGTTCAAGTCTTTCCTGTCCAAGCATGCGGAGTTCCTCACCGAGCGGGAGAAGGAGGGGGGTGATGAGTGCGAGTATTTGCTTGCATTGGGGGACCAGCTGAGGTCTTTCCTTGACCTCAAAGGGAGTTTCGGGATGCCTGAAGCCATTTCACAGAGGGAGAAGGTAAAGGCGGGCACTTACAGCATGGTTAAGTGGTGGCAGTGGAACGGGACGGATGCGCCGCAGCTGTCGTCGCTCGCCGTAAAGGTTCTCTCGCAGCCCGTCTCGGCATCTCCGTGTGAGCGTGGATGGGCGAAGTGGGAATCAGTCCACACTGCGCGACGGAACCGCCTAGGATCCGCTAAATGCTCGGATCTAGTGTACGTCACGCACAACTGGAACGTTGTGCGTGGATGGCACACGCGCCATGATGTGATGCCATCAGTTGTGCGCGGGAATGAGGTGGAGCCGCCCATCCCCGCTGGCTACAACACCGCGGAGGATATGGAGGAGGAGGAAGGTGAGGACGAGGTCTTGGCGGACGAGTATGAGTAGTAGAAAGGGAACCCGGGTCAAGAAAGGGGTAAATGGTGGTGATAGGTAGAGTAGACTATGTAGTAGCACGGCACATTGATGTTCTATGTATGTCCGTGTGGAATTTTTTGTATGTGGGAAAATATTCTGCAGAAACACATCCCACCAGAACCCCCCCTTGCTGCACTCCCGGAGGATTTTTTTGCCCTGCCCGGGAAAGTTTTTTAGCTGCCCATAAAAGCGTATCCTGGATCAGACCCCTCTCGCGTTTAGCGTATATACACTAGCGTATATACACTAGCGTATATACGACACGCGTATATACGCTAAACGCGTATAATCCATCATAGGTAAAGCACACCGGCTGTGATGTATGCTCTGGTGTTTCCACCGCACCCTGCTGCACCCACAACAGAACACCCTTCACTCGTTTCTGTCCCACCTCCAACAATCACTTTCATCCACGGCATTTATCTTTTATGGCAGAGACTGAGCAGGAGGGATTGCAGCAGGTGGAGCGAGAGATGGAGGCCAGAGCCAACGCTCAGCTCAAGGCTAACAGGTAGCACCTTCTTATTCTCAAATAGCACCTGTACTTTCACTGGTAGCACCTGCCCTTACAGGTAGCACCTGCCCTCACAGGTGGCTCCTGCCCCAGCCCCTCGCAGGTAGCACCTGCCGTCACAGTTAGCACCTGCCCTCGCAGGTAGCACCTGCCGTCGCAGTTAGCACGTGCCCTCGCAGGTAGCACCTGCCTTGCAGGCAGCACATGCTGTCGCATTTCTTCCTTTACCCATCTTTCCGTTGCTGCATATCACCCATCTGACTCTCCTCCTCTCCTTTCTCCCTTCCTTCTTCCGCTTTGCCCAGGCCAAAATTGCCTGCTGCTGCAGCAGGATCCGCAGCAGCACCAGCAGCAGGCAAGGGTTATGCGTCCCTCCTTTTACCCATCTTTCTGTTGCTGCATATCACCCATCTGACTCTCCTCCTCTCCTTTCTCGCTTCCCTCGTTCTTTTCCCCAGGCCGAAACTGCCTACTGCTGCAGCAGGATCCGCAGCAACACCAGCAGCAGGCAAGGGGGCTTATGCTAACATGCCGTTTTCTTATGGAAGCAGTGACAATAACGCAGGTGACTGTAACGAGGAGGAGGAAGAGGAGGATGAGGAGGACGAGGAGGAGGAAGAGGAGGGGGATGGGGGGGAGGGGGGAGATGTGGAGGAATACGGGTGGATGTCTCCTGGTGGGCGGCAGCGTTTGGCAGATATGGCGGAACGGTACGGCATAGAGGAGTACGGGCGGCACATGGATTTGGCAGTATCTGCCTTGGAGAAAGAGAAGAGGATGCGACAGATGGCGGGCAATGATTCGGTAAGCAGATTTCAACAACCCATTTGAGTCATGATAGCATTTTTGGCAGGCGGCGTCTGTGCCCTGACGTGTGTATTTAAACCTGATGTGCCCCATGCTTTAGTGTCACTCTCCCATTCACCCTCCCATCCACTTCCCATTCAATCTCTCCCATTCACTCTCCCATGCCCTGTGTTATGGTATCCCTGCTTCTACTTACCAGCGTCCTTCGCGCAAGGAGAGGAAGAAGCTTGCTCGCCAGGGGAAGGAAGGGGGAGGGCAGGGGAAGAAGCAGCAGGGGAAGGGGGAGGCATGGAAGCAGCAGGGGTTGGTGGGGGTTGGGGGGCACACAGAGGGGCAGAGGGGGCACGATGACAGAGGGAGGGACAGGGAGAGAGAAAGAGGTTGGGATAGGGATAGGGATAGGAGAAGGGAAGGGGACAGGTGGGACAGGGATTCAGACAGAGGCAGGTACAGGGATAGGGATAGGGATAGGGACAGGGATAGGGATAGGGAGCTGGAGAGGGGTAGGGAAAGGGATAGGGGCAGAGGGGAAGACGCAGGGGGAAGGGGGTCAAGAGGGGGTGGAGAGAAGGAGGGCGGGATAGAGTTTATCACCCAGTTTGGCGGGGGTGTTGGTGAGGATGAGGGCTTTGGCAGGGAGAAGGAGAGGAGGGGAGGTGAGGAGGAGAGGAGGAGAGGGTACGGTGGAGAGCGGTTCGAGAGGGGTTTAAGTGGGGATGTTTCGATTGGCTCCCCATCGCCTGCCTCTTCCAAGCAGTCGCCAGCTCTCAGGTAGGCTCATGGTGTGATGTGATGTACGCTTGTGTTTGTCAGATGTTACCTGCTTGTGTTTGTCAGATGTTACCTGCTTGTGTTTGTCAGATGTTACCTGCTTGTGTTTGTCAGATGTTACCTGCTTGTGTTTGTCAGATGTTACCTGCTTGTGTTTGTCAGATGTTACCTGCTTGTGTTTGTCAGATGTTACCTGCTTGTGTTTGTCAGATGTTACCTGCTTGTGTTTGTCAGATGTTACCTGCTTGTGTTTGTCAGATGTTACCTGCTTGTGTTTGTCAGATGTTACCTGCTTGTGTTTGTCAGATGTTACCTGCTTGTGTTTGTCAGATGTTACCTGCTTGTGTTTGTCAGATGTTACCTGCTTGTGTTTGTCAGATGTTACCTGCTTGTGTTTGTCAGATGTTACCTGCTTGTGTTTGTCAGATGTTACCTGCTTGTGTTTGTCAGATGTTACCTGCTTGTGCCGCTTGCCCCACTGTATGTGGTATGCTTCTGCCACATGATTGAGACATCTCACAACATGAGAGATTGCCATCTCAAAACATGAGAGATTGCCATCTCAAAACATGAGAGGTTGCCATCTCAAAACATGAGAGGTGCCTTCTTAATGTGACGCTTGTTCGTGATCATCCAACTCATCTTCTTCTTCTTCTTCTTTTTGTTCTGTTTTTTTTTTTTTTTGTTAACTTATCAATCGCCGCAAAAGTTTTTGGAGTGCTTCGCGGGTCACATAACATTTTTCTCCTGTCCCCACGTCCCCACTCTCCCTCTCGCCACTTCCACCCATCCTCCCCTCCCCACAGCCGTCGCTTGCTTGCACCATCCACACTTCTTCGAGTGGCAGGCGGGGGGGGGAAGGGAGCTGAGGGAGGGGCGAAATAAACAGGACTTTTGAGACAAATCAAGAACTGTTTTCTCTCCCCACTCCCTTCTCTTCACTTCCACCCGTCTTCCCCACAGCCGCCGCTTGCTTGCGCCATCCACGGTGCCTCGAGTGGCAGGGGCGGCAGGCAAGGGAGCCGAGGGAGGGGCGAAGGAGACCCCGCAGGAGAGGCTGAAGCGGCTGATGGCCAAGCAGCTGAACAAACACAGTAGGCTGGGTGTGAAGGGGGGTGAAGTGGGTTGGAGGTGAAAGTGGGTGAAACTAGGGGCTTAGCACGTTGTTGTATGGAGAGAGGGGCGAAGGAGACATCGCAGGAGAGGCTGAAGCGGCGGATGGCGAAGCAGCTGAATAAACACAGTAGGTTGGGTGTAAAGGGGGGTGAAGTGGGTTGGAGGTGAAAGTGGGTGAAACTAGGGGCTTAGCACGTTGTTGTATGGAGAGAGGGGCGAAGGAGACATCGCAGGAGAGGCTGAAGCGGAGGATGGCGAAGCAGCTGAATAAACACAGTAGGCTGGGGGCGTTTTTGGGATGTGCTGGCCCATGTTAAGCTGTATTCAGCCATCTTGGGTCGTGTTGAGCCGTGTTAAGCTGTCCAGCGACGTGCTGGGATGCTTAAAAAAAGGCTAGGGTACAGTAGGATGAAAGTGGAACCGGATGAGATGAAATTTGTCATTTTTCTTAGGCACCTCAAAGGTTGTCTCGTCTCTCGTGACAGGAGGCTGGCGAGAGCTCAGCTTTTTCATCACCCCTGGTTCCTTGTTTTTTTTCTCCCATGCTTCTCCCATACCCTTTTGTGTGTGGCAGTTAAGAAGGATACGGCAGCAGAGAAAGCAAAGAAGCAGGAGCAGGAGAGGTTGAAGCGAGCTAAGCTGGAAGAGACTCGCCGTGCTGCTGCTAGGTACCGTGATAGGAGCAGAAGCAGGAGCAGGAGCTGGAGCAGGAGCAGGAGCAGGGACAGGAGTAGAGACAGGGATAGAGGCAGGAGCAGGAGCCGGAGTAGGAGCTGGAGTAGAGACAGGAGCAGCAGGGGAAGAAGCAGGAGCAGGAGCAGGAGCAGGAGCAGGAGCAGGAGCAGGAGCAGGAGCAGAGACAGGAGCAGGAGGGGCAGAAGCAGAAGCAGAAGCGGAAGCAGGAGCAGGAGCAGGAGTAGTAGCAGGGGCAGGGGCAGGAGCAGGAGCGGCAGTAGGGACAGGGGCTGAAGGAGCAGAAGTTTGGTTTTGTAGCTTAGCCTGTAAGGTTTGCAGGGTTCCCTTTGTCGCCAACAGATTAATTGCCAACAGGCGCGTCGAATCGAAACCCCCTCCCATTCGCGGCGCCTCAAATGCTTGACTAGGGACGAGTTCTCGGCATGGACGAGCACGAAGCAATTTCAATCTCCTCATGCACGAAGCAATTTCAATTTCTATGCTCCGCATGCATTCAAGTGTAGTGAGTCGGTTTTGGAGTCGACTCAAAAACCTTCTCATATTCAAATATGTAAAAATTTTAATACAATTTTCAAAATTTAAAGATTATGACAAGACTTGTAAAGGATTATGCAGTAAGGAGTCATCTGCTCCTTATCTCGTGGCAGGTCCACAGACCTGCCACCTAGTCGAATCATTTCTAGATCTGAATCTAGAACAGCACACCTAGGGAACTTTTCCACCCTCCTAGACTGACGAGAACTTCGTACATGCTGCTTCTACGAATGAAGCGATATCTGCTGGAAGTTTCTGCAATTGCAAGTACAAAAATCGTTTTTTGTATGGCAAAATCATAATATACACTGCTGATACATCTACGTGCAACATACTGCGCGGAACATATTGCCGCTGCTTCTACCAGTGGCGATCTTCCTCGATACTGCTGCATAGGAGGTGTTCGTTTCGGCGGCTGCGGTCGTTGCGACCTCTTGGAGCTGGCGATGCTGCTGCAGCGACTATGACTGCTGCTGCTGCCGGGACGGTTGCTGCTGCTATGAGACGAGCCGCTGCTGCTTATGCTGCGCATGGCGAGACAACGGCTGCTGCTGTTGCGGTTGGAACAAACTCACGGTGGCATGTGGCAAGACCGCTGCAGTTGCGGGTGTCCTATCGCTACTGCTATCCTGTTATCTGCTGCTGATGCATGATCGCTACTGCTGCTGCGCACGAATCTTGCTGGAGCTGCGAGATCGCCGCTGCTGCTGCTGCTGTGCGATCAATGTTGCCGCTGCTGTGCGCTGTTGCTGCTACTGTGCGATTGCTGCTGCTGCTACTTCGCGATCGCTGCTGCTGTGCGATCGCCGCTGCTGTGCGATCGCTGCTGCTGCTGCTGCTGCTGCCGCGCAATCGCTGCTGCTCCTGCTTCGCGATCGCTGCTGCTGTGCGATCGCTGCTGCTGTGCGATCGCCACTGCTGTGCGATCGCTGCTGCTGCGGCTGCCGCGCGATCGCTGTTCCTGTGCGGTCGCTTCTGCTGCTGCGCGATCGCTTCTGCTACGGCTGCCCGATCGCCGCTGCTACTTCGCGTTCGCTGCAGCTACTCCGTGATTGCTGCTGCTGGGCACGATCTGCGCTGCTGGCGCGCGGTCGCCTTTGCTGGCCTGCGATCGCCATTGCTGGTGCACGATCGCCGCTGCTAGCGTGCGGTCGCTGCTGCTGCCTCAATAGCGCATCTGCTGTGGCGTGATTTGCTGGTGCTATCGAGATCGAGATGGTGCTGCTCTGCCTGACGACACAGCAGCTACCACAGCTATGAGGGACGAGAAGTTGCCCTCGCTGCTATGTGCAAACTGAAATTGCAGTTACTGGTGTAACTCTTGATTTGGTGTTAAAAGATTGTGGTGGCCTATAAGATTATGGCCTTAAAAAAAAAAAAAAAAAAGACAAGGCCCAAAGAAGATTATGATTCAGTGTAAGGGCCAGAGCATGACACTTGCAGTATTGTGTCGTGCAGCATAAGAGGCCGTCCGCGTGCATCATTATGTCTGAATTAATATGCGGTATGCCGGATTTGTACGCCTCATAATAATTAGTAACGCGTTCTTCCCCTATTATGGGATGTGAAGCACTTAACACGCTTCTACCGTACCTTCTATTGGGACGCACACCCGTTTCAATTACGGCGATGGATTTTTCTGCTGGCTAAATCGCAAACTTGCAATGGTTGGACAATAGTGTCGACTTTGTTGTCGAGCATATGCGTACTTACGCTGAAAACTGGTGATATCACCGTGCATCCAAAAAGGAAAAAAGAAAAAAAAAAAAAAAAAAAAAAAAAAAAGGGGGGGGGGGGGGGGGGGGGGAGGGGGGGGGGGGGGGGGGGGTGGGGGGTACGGGTACCCTGAGGGCCGTGATAATGAGGCATTTCCAAAGTAATTTTGCCATCTACGGTACCATATCTCTCAATTATTCGGCGCCTTAATGCAGAAATTGCCAAAACTACGTGGTCGAGTTCAATTCAACCCTTGCTGCCATTTCAACATTATGGTGTGTTTTTCCGTAAATGGTAACACTCCCTTCCTAAGCTATCGCTCGGACGTACCACCACTCCTCATAATTATGGCGCTGAAGTGATTCGGCTGACTGTGACGCAAACGCGCACATCGTTTACGCAATTGTCGAGTACTTGTTGTCATTCAGTTGGCGCTATACAGAAAGTTGTCGACTCCAAAAAAAAAAAAAAAAAAAAACTATTCTCATCGCCTTGAGACCTATCGTAAACGCGTCATCATTGTCGAACTTTCAACGTTTTTATGTTCAATCCCTGATTTTCAGCGTTCGGTTTTAGCAAGGTCTGCATTTCGGAGCAATTTCCAGTATACGACATAGTCTTTCGCGGTATGACAATCCATGCCAGCGTCTTGGTGTGACCATATCCATGTGCTAATTGAAGGCTCTTGTTGGGAGCCACAAGCCGTTTTTTTTTACAGCACGCTTGGATACATGCACAAGGATCCTCTTACATTCACATATCATACATGAACATTCATTGTAGAAAAACCCACCAGGACATGAAAGTCCATGTGGATAGCGCACACGTACTTGATTTCTTCGGACTCGTTGTGACGTGTATACCCCATTTGGATTGACCATTTCACAGCCCCTCACCTTGAAGTCTTTCGTCTTTTTATGAAGTCACACCACCAAAAGGGGAAGGATATCGATCTGGCGTGCGATCTGTCAACATCATTGCACTTTTGTTAACACAAACTCGTGTCTTGAGCATGCACGTTACGAGCATAATGCTGGAGGATGGATTGGAAATATTTGGTTGGTTGTCGCTTCTATGCGCACATCTAACCTTATAGCTGATGTGATTCGGACCTTTTGGTCTATACAAAAGGTGGATCTCGTCGAGAGGCAGGTTGCTTGCCCTCACACACCCACTTCACTGATGATATTCCATGTCGTAATGGCTCACGTTTCATAAAATTTCCCATATCGTATAGCATGGTTTTTCCATTGCGTACTAACCGTTGGTTCCCCTTTTCATGGCTCCTGCATCTATTGAACCTTGAACACATAGTGCTACCGTATTTACAGAGGCGCTAAATTCGATACTGCCTGTTTTGCTGTTAATTGACAACGAATGCCCTATCAAGGGCACCGGATTGTAAGCTGGTTACACAAGGTGTATGCATTGTACACATTGGAAATGCGTCAAAGTTTGGTATGTGCTTCACAACTCCTTTGCAGCAACATGCCACTAGTCTTCAGCCTTAATACTCGAGGCAACATCGTTTGCATACCATGCAACCAGTGCATCAACATGTTAACGTGAGCAATACGTCATCGACCGTGATCTACGGTAAATACGACTTAGTCATGTAGTCATGCTGCGAAAGGCCCGCCCTACATCGAAGTGACGTGATGTTATTGCACAATGTTGACATTATGCTCAATTCAACAACTATGGTTAGCTACCATAACTTCCCGACTTCATCACTTACGTGCTCGGTCGTCGGATAAACGACTAACATCCTCGAACGACTGCCAAAGGGTTTTATTTAGGTTCTCTTACGAGATGGATGGCGCCTCATCGCTACTGACGATTTCTTGCGACAATCACTGTGCAACTTATTGCTCACTCGATTCTTACGCGCATCTGATACTTCTTTCATTGTTCTCTTCTTGGGAACCTCCCCCACAATAGTAGGTGAGGGTATATAGTTCCTCCATTCCATTCCGTCCTTCCCTACTAAGGTAAAACCCTGAGTTCTAGAGCCTTGCTCCCGACGCACCTAATGTCTCTTATCTCCTATGACGACTGCTCTGCAGACTCCTTGGAGAGTCTTGTCTTAATATGTAAAATTTTTAAATACAATTTTCAAAATTTAAAGATTATGACAAGACTTGTAAAGGATTATGCAGTAAGGAGTCATCTGCTCCTTATCTCGTGGCAGGTCCACAGACCTGCCACCTAGTCGAATCATTTCTAGATCTGAATCTAGAACCCACCCTCCCGCCCTTACGCTAGTTAGTAGCCTCGTTAGCCTCGTATCTATACCAGTGGTAGTTATTTTCGTCTCGTTATATCCTCATTATCTTTGTAATTTGCAATCTAGTGTGCTGTATGATTGAGATCTGAAATATGACGACTGCTCTGCAGACTCCTTGGAGAGTCTTGTCTTAATTCTATGCTCCGCTTGCATCCAAGTAACTGAATCAAGCATACCGCATTGCCTCCCTTTTGAGGCGCATTGACAGCCAAACTAGGGGTGAGCTTCCGGCAATGAACGGTGCATGCACGGCAAAGCTCGACCGTGAATCTCTTTTCAAATACCTTGTGTGGTCATCTAGGCAGCTGAATCAAGAAAACCGGAGCACCGCGCCCCTTGCCATTTCGCGGCGCCTCAAAAGCTTGATTAGGGACAAGCTCCTGGCATGAACGGCGCAACCAGCGCGACCTTGAATCGCTTCTCAATTTCCTTGTCGGGCAATCAAGTACAGTAACAGCCTCTGAGAGGAACCAAGCACACCACCCGCCCCCCTTTCGAGGTGCCTCAAAAGCCCGACTATGAACGAGTTTCCGGCATGAACGGCCCAACCAGCGCGACCTTGAATCGCTTCTCAATTTCCTTGTCGGGCAATCAAGTACGGTAACAGCCTCTGAGAGGAACCAAGCACACCACCCGCCCCCCTTTCGAGGTGCCTCAAAAGCCCGACTATGAACGAGCTTCCGGCATGAACGGTGCAAGCTCTACCTTGAATCTCTTTTCAAACTCCTTGTCCGAGCCTTTAAGCAACTGAATCAAACAAACCGCCTCCCTTCCCTGCTGCCGATTCACGCCTCGCCGGCCAGCAGTACCTTTTCTTCCCACCACAGCATAGCTGTTTTGCACAGAATCCAATAGACTTTGATACTCAACCTTCCCCACCATCATCTCATCCATCCCACCCTCATCCTCCCCATATTCTACTTCCATATCCTTGCCCTTTCCTTCTGCCCTCCTCCCGCTACCAACTCCCTCCAAGTGCCCCCCTTTTTCTCCCCTATTCTTTGGTAGAGCTACCTCATGTGGTACCAACACATATCCCTTGCTCAGCAGTGCCAGATGTCGCGGTTTGATTCGCCGCTCCAAACTGAACCCAAGGAACATGGGGAACGCGAGCATCTCCGTTATAGACAACCCCATGTCCCACTTTAGGTACTCCACCTTGTGCTTCGTGTTCCGCTCCCAACTGTAGAAAATAGAATTCGGGAACTTCATCACCAGACTCACCACCATCTCACGAGCTGTGATGGTGGCAGCAATGCTCTTAAAGCCTTGTCCTTCTCCTGCCTTTTCTTCATCCCAGCACTTTGACCCGGCTGGACATCTGGCACCTCGTCCCTCTTGCCCAACACATTCCCTTGCATCATGCTTCAACGCCCCCTCCAACCGTTGCATCTCACTTCCTGCTTCCCCACTGCTCTCCAATGCCTCTTCCACTTCTCTTACAAGCTCGCTGAAACCCGTCCTGAAGTTCTCTTCACTGGACGACAGCAATAAAGGGTTCCTTGCCGTTGCAAGCACGGCGTTCTCTCGACCAATCAGATCGCTCAGCAATGCCACCTTGCTTTGCATGTTTTCTACCGATAGCGTAAGAATCCTTGGATAGTTGCGCACCACGCTCGCTGTTGCCTTCTCCCCCACCAACTCCACTAAAAACTGGAGCTTAGCTAAGAGATTCTGGGAGTTCCTGTGGACGAGAGAGGGGGTGTGGCGGAGAATCGAAATGGAAACAGAAGGGCTGTCAGGGGGAGTGAAGGACTGGAGGAGGAGGAGGTTGGCGGCAATGCGCTCCGGAGGCCTGACGAGGATTCCTGGACACCGCACCAGGAGTCTGCTCAGGTGATTCTTGTCCTTGTGCTGCCTATTCAGGTGTTGCCTCAGGTGCCCGCTGTTGACGCTTCCTTCTCCGGATCCAGTGGTAAAATACGCTGATAATTGCTCGAGGCGACTTCGTATGGTTTCCTCCTTCATGCACAGAGTTATTGGACCTCTCTCTATAAGCACACCCAGCTTGTCCACAGGAACCCCCCCTCTCTCCACCAGAATGTCCAGATTCGGTGAACGAGTCCGCATGGTAATGAGAAATGGAGACTTTCGGAGCACTGTACCTAGCTTGGTTCGGCGTACGCCCCGAGCCAAGAGAAAATCAAGCATTTCCTGAAGGTGGGAAAGGGAGACTCGGAGCCAGGAACAATTTCTCATGGAGATGGCTGACATGTCAGCACGGGATAAGCCATATGACTGGAGGAGGTGGACACGTGGCAGAAGGTCATTGGCCGGATCGGAACGCAGGAGGGCAGGGTGAGAGGCGAGGAGGGAGGCGACAGTGGAAGGGGAGGAGATGCCGAGGTGGGAGGAGAAGAAGCGGTAGAGGGAGAGGAGGGAGGAGGGAGATACGACCCGACGAGGGCCATAGAATGGAGGAGATGGGCGTGTGGGAGGAGATGTGTTGGGTGGTGCGTCCTCCTCACTCGCTTCTGCTTCTGCTTCAGCTTCTCCCCCCTCGTTCCAATCCTCACCCACTTCGCCCTCAGCTTCTGCGCCCTCTCTTTCCTCATCCCCATCCCCCACCTCTTTCGCTTCGTGTCGTCCCTTAGCATCCTCCTCGTCCGTAATCATTCCGTTTGTACACCCCTCCTCCTCCCCCTCCTCTCTCACGATCTGATCCCCGAATTTCTCTCTCAACACTCCAGCGATTACCGCAACTGCCTCCTCCTCCTCCTCTGAGTCCTTGCACCCATCTCTCTCTCCACGCTTCCACCCGCCTCCCGCAACCTTTCCCCCCACTTCCCTTGCTCTTGTCACTCTACTCTCGCTCTTCTCTGATTTTCGTCCCTCACTCTCTCCCTCCTCACTTCCATCTGTACGCAGTCGATCCTCCGTCCCAACCGCCACTGCTGGTTTGCCATCGAAGCTCGGATCGAATCGCACGTTCGCGCTCTCCGCCTCGGGAACCTCTGCTGCTCTGGCCGACGATCCAGCGGGGCAGCCTATAGTGAAGCTCCGGTCAGGAGTTCGAAACCTGGTGAATGCGTTTTGTGCAGGCTGGTGTCGGTTTAGCCTAAACCGGTAGAGGCTCGGCGGGGAAGGAATAGCAGCTGCGGATGCCATTTCAGGCTTCTCTAAAAATGACTTATTACGAGGCGTAGAAGACGGTGTCATGAATCTTAATGAGGATCTTAATCTGTTAATCCACGCGATGGGTTGCCGTGACGTTCTGGTCCGATACGCCATAACGAATAGCCGATGGATGCAACGAAACGGACGATGGATCACATGAACGACTTACACGCCTTCAGTGCGTGTCCTACGACGACCATCAGTAATGATTCCCGATACCCGAATCGTTGCAGTGACTGCCAGAAAAAATACGCTTCGTCTCAATAGTTCCTCCGGTTGCTGGCAGCAGACATCTCACGCTCTAGTAGCAAAGTTTACGATACAGACCCAAGAGAACAATGGAGAAGTGCTATGATAGAAAGAGAGCCATGGTGAATTCAGATGAATGCAGCAGATGGATCCTATCCTCTGTCCCACCGCCAGCACTGGGATTACTGAGCTGTGGGTAACCTTCGCTGGCGCATCAATTTACATCTCCTTTCACGAGTGCATTGCGACAATGAAATTCGCATGCGGAGGTCGACTATGTTCGCTAGCCCCTGTCTTTTGGAACAAGGACTGGTTGCCACACTTGCGAAGAGTATTGTGCATTCGCCCATCAGGTCCACAAGCTGGTTTGTGCCGTTTCGGATTCGTACCCATTTACCGAATTCGTACCCGTTTACAAAATCCAAACAGAGCAAGGAACTTCGAGCAACTGTACAATTGGGGCCTGACGCAACTAAGCAGGGCTGGCTTTTCTAAATGTATGAAGAGACCCTTTATGGAATTAACCAGGTCAAAATTCGAAATTTGCTAGCTGACATCGGGCCCGATGTGCTTGTGTATTTGTGCATACCGTATATTTGTTGTGTTGGCTCATAACCTTATTTGGGTTGGCTCAGAACCGCAAGTAGAGCCAATTTTTGAGTCGTCTAAAAATTCAAAAGTCGAATCTCGCGAGTTGAGCGTGTGCCTCTTCCACGTCCTTCTGTGCCTTCTTCCTCCGGTAGAATATGGGGCAGTCTCGACTGCCATTGCAAGAGAGAAGATGAGCGGGGAGTGGGTGGGTAATAATTGAGGTTAAGCAGGCAACAGTGTCGCCCCCTCCATGTCGCCCCCTCCAAGTCCTTCTGTGCCTTTTCCTCCGATAGAAAATGTGGCAGTCGCGACTGCCAGGGCAAGATAAGTTTGTGGATCACGCGGGCAAAGACAGGTGGAGATGTGTTGACATAACTTGAGAAATCTTGATTGGAAGGGGCAAGAGGAGAGTGTGGAGTGAGTGCAGTCAACCAGCCGCCAGAAAAGGATGTTGATCAGTTTTGGGGGGTTGCGTTACAAGGACAGAGAAACAGGGTCAGTGAGTGAGGGACGGCAGGAGCTTGAACAGAATGAACAGAAAAAGAAGAATGAACAGAATGAAGTAGACTGGCTTGTAAGCAGTAATGCGGTACAGAGAGCAAAACCTCATGTGCTACACCAACAGAAGCACCATCAGAGCCACCATCAGCGTACCTGGTGCAGAGCACGTCTTGATGCAAACTGCCCTGGCAGCGCTGGCACTAGGTGCGACAAGATACAAAGCAGCACCACCATCCCACCACACAGCGTACCTGGTGCAGAGCACGTCTTGATGCAAGCTGCCCTGACATCGCTGGCACTCCACCCATAGCCTTCCAAACTGCTCCTCGCACTCCCGCACTGAATCACAGACAGCAAGGAGGGAGGATGCAGAAAGCATGAAGGAAGCACACAGAAAGCAGGTTTGAGGGATTGGTAAGCTGATTATTGATTATCCTAAAAAACACGGCCAGCAGAAACCATTGAAATTAAACTATCAAAGACTCACCAGTGGATGTGATCCGTTGGTAAATCTCGCCTTCTCGATCCATACAGTGCACGCACAGCGTCTGGGAATTTCCACTGCCAGGAGAGTGAGCAGAGAGAACGTAAAGGACGATAAAAGGAGAGGAGGAGATGGTAAAAGGCAGCGCATTCGTGCATACACACCAAACATAGGACACCATTCGGACTGTCCCTTAGGCACAGCTGTTCTCAGAGATTTCATGGACCAAACAAGAAAGGGCTAGAAGGGTTCGACATTCAATCATAACTTATTGTTGTAAGAAGAAAAAAAAAAAAAACAGGCGGTTGGGTTACCTGAGGGGCGTCTTGCAGCCGAGGCAGGAGAGGCGGACTTTGGCGAATCGCATGATGCCACCTGTCGAAGGCGTGGAAATGGAAACGGCACGCGTGTGCGCCCCGCTCAGCAGCTCCTTGCTTGCGTTCTTCAGAATGGGCTCGAAAATTCTCAGCAGTGGCTGGAACGTCGGGGTATATAGGGTATGGGTTGAGGGTTCAAACAAGAAACGGGGGTGGGGGGGGGAGAGGGGTTTGAATGGTGTATGGATCACCGAGTTCGCCCCACTCAGCAGCTCCTGGCTCAGCAGCTTCGTCAAGATGGGCTCGAATATCCGCAAGAGGGGCTGACACATTGGGGTTTAGGGTTGAAGATACGAGTTTAAGTGGTGGAGGGCAGTGGAGATGGACACGGCTCGCGAGTGCGCGCCACTCAGCAGCTCCTTGCTCGCATTCTTCAGAATGGGCTCGAATATCCGCAGGAGAATTTTCAGCGGCAGAATGGGCGCCTCAAAAGTGGTGAGGGCAGACTTTTCAGGCGCCTCAAAGGACAACCGCGCTTACCTTGCTGAGTTGGTTCTCCATGTAATAGTGCAGGTTGATGGGTATGTTGTTTGTTGCTCCAGAGGAATCGTCTGCTATTGAGAACAAGAATATCAACACTTCACCCCTCACCTTGCTGAGTTGGTTCTCAAGGTAGTAGTGCGGGTCGATGGGTATGTTGTTCTCCAGCACGTGGATGGGGTCCTCTGACTTCTCGTATGCCTGAGATGAGAAAATGTGAAGCAGGAGAGAGCAGACTGAGTGTGTGAATCTCGTACAGAAGAAGCCGGCATAACGGGTGCACAGACCGCAGGTATAGCAATCTCATCGCATGCCTGACAGAATAGGCCACTCGATCCCCGATGCGCGGTAATCTCGTACAGAAGAAGCAGGCATAACGGGTTAACGGACCGCAGGTATAGCATGTCACAAGCAGCTCACCTTGCTGCCCTTTGGCGCCTTGCAGATGACATAGGCCACTCGGTCCCCGATGCCCGGTGCTGTGGCGGAGTCCCATGAGTAGGGTGAGCATCCCGGGACCTCTCATACATGCATGTCGCACTGAGCTCACCTTGCTGCCCTTGGGAGCCTTGCAGATGACATATGCCACTCGGTCCCCGATGCCCGGTGCTGTGGCGGAGTCCCATGAGTAAGGTGAGCATCCCGGGACCTCTCATACATGCATGTCGCACTGAGCTCACCTTGCTGCCCTTGGGAGCCTTGCAGATGACATATGCCACTCGATCCCCGATGCCCGGTGCTGTGGCGGGGTCACGCTGGGGGAGAAAGATCAGACGGAGGTTGGAGAGGGAAGGCAGGGAAGGATCAGATGGGCGGCAGAGGGTCGGACATAGGACCTCGAAAGGAGACTTTATGCTTGGTGACTCATGCTGTATCAGATGAGACGAGGGCACAATGAAGGCACTATGGATGACATGTGAAATCTTGTGAAAGGACTTACGTTGTGAAAGGCAGCACACGTCCAGCGGCCAGCCCACGAATCATCTGTAATAAGAAAAGGCTCACCTTGCGCATCCTCTCTGCTAGCTGAACGGGGGCCGCCTTGACTGCGTAGTCACCTCCCTTTTGAGGCGCCTCAAGAGTCGTCTCATGTCTCACATTTTCTAAGCGCCTCAAAAGTCATCTCCAATACCTCACAGCCACGAGCCCACCTTGCGCATTCTCTCTGCCAGCTGCACGTGGGCCGCCTTGACCGCATAGTCGTCACCTCCCTTGGTTAGCGCCTTGGAGTCGACTCAAAATCAAACCCTAGAGACACCAGCATATGAGCTCACCTTGTTTTGAGTCGACTCAAAGTCACAAACAAAAGCTCACCTTGCGCATTCTCTCAGCCAGCTGGACGTGGGCCGCCTTGACGGCATAGTCGTCACCTCCCTTGGTTAGCGCCTTGGTGATAACCAGCAGCGAGAGGTCGAGCTTGTTCATGAGTAGGTCTGAGATGACAGCCTTCACATACGCCACGGCCCCCGGGATATCCCGCTCCATTAGAATGCGCCGCAAGCACTCATCCACCACCTGTGCGTGGGGGAGGGGACTTTTGATTAACTTAAAAGATGACAGCCTTTCACATACGCCGCCACTCCGAGAATATCCCGCTCCATTAGGATCCGCCGCAAGCACTCATCCACCACCTGTAAGGTGGGGTGAACCAGTGGGGGGCATGAGACGATACACGTGGTGTTTCAACAAAGAGGTGATAACCAGCAGCGAGAGGTCGAGCTTGTTGAAGAGGAGATCCGAGATGACAGCCTTCACATTAGAATGCGCCGCAAGCACTCGTCCACCACCTGTGGAAGCAAACCAGTGGGCACTAGGCATTGCCTCAAAAGTAAACGACAGCCTTCACATGTGCATGCCGCAGCCATGGGAAAAATCTCAGATCAGATTTCACATACGCCAGGTAAGTAGACCACGTTTTCTTGAGAATCTCAACTGAAAAACACGTCCCCAGCTCACCTGGCGGACCAACAAGCAGTTGTCTCTCCGAACCGTCTCAATACCTGAAGGATTACAGCAGTAGGAGACAAGGGGAAGGGACAGAGAGAGGGAAGACCGAACTTATTCTGAAGTCGACTCAGAGCCGACAGTTGTCTCTTTGAGCCATCTCGATACCTGTGGGGTCAATGGGCTGAAAGAACACGGGTACAGGATGTGAGGAGGCGAAAGGGGACAAGATGTTGGTTGGATGAAGAAGTGTTTTGAGACGTCTCAAAACACTTCTTATCAAAGGGCTGAAAGAACACGGGTACAAGATGTGAGGAGGCGAAAGGAGACAAGATGTGAGGTGAGGAGGCGAAAGGAGACAAGATGTGAGGTGAGGAGGCGAAAGGAGACAAGATGTGAGGAGGCGAAAGGAGACAAGATGTGAGGAGGCGAAAGGAGACAAGATGTTGGTTGGATGGGTTCCCATCTTATCGAAGCCCTTTGAGTTTTGACCAGTACAGCCTCTTGCACTTGATATAATCACACCTTTATTGGCACACCTAGGCCGCCGTACCTACCTTTGGTGTCCATCTTATTCAAGGCCTTGGAGTTGCACCAGTAGAGCCGCTTCTTGTGCTTCATATAATCACATGCTTACTGGTACACCTAGGCCGCCGTACCTTTGGTGTCCATCTTGTCAAAGGCCTTGGAGTTGGACCAGTACACTCCGGCATATCGCTTCTTGCACATGCTATAAGAAACACACCTTTACTGTCACACATCAATCATCGTACCTTTGGTGTCCATCTTGTCAAAGGCCTTGGAGTTGGACCAGTACAGCCCGGCGTAGCGCTTCTTGTTGATCAGCAGGTACGGGAAATACACCTTCTCAAACTCCAACCTGATTGGCTGAGGGGCAAGACCAGGGAGAATCAAAGAAAAGGAGAAAATGTTTCTCGATATTTGTTTGATTGGCTAACGGGCACAGAAACGGAGAGATGAGGGGATCACCTCTCCCAGATGGGGTTTGTTAAACTGGAAGCTGAAAGAGAAAGATATATCAGGATATAAATATTCCATGGAAGACAGGTTTTCCTCCTCCTCTTAAGAAAGATACCTGAGTTTTCTTCACAATTGGCACACCAGAAGCATTGGCACATATTTACATAATGGGAAATACCTTGGGAAAGGTGTCAGAAATCTCTTCAGCCGCCTGCCTGCCCATGCGCATGGCCTCCTCAACGGTGTCCACGCCAAACATCACCATCACGGAGTCGGTGTCGCCATACACCACGTCGGCATCGTGCGTTGAGTCGACTCAAAAACAAGACGGAGCGTACCTTGGGGAAGGTATCAGAGATTTCTTCTGCTGCCTGCCTGCCCATGCGCATGGCCTCTTCAACAGTGTCCACGCCAAACATGACCATCACCGAGTCGGTATCGCCGTACACCACATCCGCATTGTGCGAGTAGCCGTTGGCGATGGAGTAGTGCTGCTCCACAAACGCCCTCGTGTGCTCTATCATCTGCCGCCCTGCATGCACGCATGAGGGAGCAAGGAGAGACGAATCTGTGATGAGGGTGTGATGATGAAAAATCGCCAAGTGCTGCTCCACGAACGCCCTCGTGTGCTCTATCATCTGCCGCCCTGCATGCACGTAATAATGCATGCACGCACGCACACATGAAGGAAAGACAGATCTGTGATGAGGGGTCATATCACATATGAAGGCCACGATTTGCCAACACCGGCAACTAGGTCAGAGCCGCAGGCAGCATACGGGCAGCACAGCAGCAAGAAAGTAACACAGCCAGAATGCGAATGCTAAAGCCCCAGTCACACACGTGAGTGACTCACCATAGGCAGTCACGCTGGATGAGATTTCCAAGCAGGGCAGAGCACCGATAGTGGCCCCTGTGAAGCCGTAGACCGAGTTGGCACTCACCTGTGGTGAAGGGGGGGAAGAGAGGAGAACCACAGAGTAAAGGTCGAAGGGAATGAGCGGACAGATGGAAAGCAGAGGCATGACAGTGCAGCGATAGTAGCCCCTGTGAAGCCGTAGACACCCGAAAGGGTGTGAAAGCATTTGAGGTATGCGCATTGAGAAACGAAAAGGGAAGACCAAGAAGCTGGAAATTCGGTCTGCTGTAATCCTACCTTGCATCCCAGTTGTCATGCTACCTGGATTGGAGTGCCAGCTGTCGTCCTACCTTGAGTGCCAGCTGTCATCGTACCTTGAGTGCCAGCTGTCGGCCGTCCAGCACTGCTTTCTCCAAGGGATCCGTGGCTTTCTGCGAAGATTAAGGCAGGGAGAGGGGGAGGGGGGGCGGGAAGAATTTGGATTCGAGATGTCTTAAAAGGGCAAGGAAGACAGAAAGAAGGCACTGCCGTGCCACATAGTTTGTTTTTTTTTCTTTTTTAGATTCTGAAAAAAAAAAACATGTAATGAATCAAATAACTAATAACTAATCTACCCCAAAACACAACAAATGCGCATGATACATGCTTTGAGAAGACTACAGAAACTATGCAACACCCCCCCCTCCTCCTCTCTCCCCCCCCAACCCCACCGTTGCTCCCCTCACCTTAAGGTCCGCCTTTGCTCTCTTTCTCGCTGCCAGCAACTCTTCCAAAATCTCCGGCAGAATGCCCTTAGCAGCGGATGCCTTAACAAAAAGGTCCCCTGTAGGGGTTTGCGATATTTGGTCATTTGATGGCCTGATGCCGTGCTCCTTCTGAACCTGATAGGGGAAGTGGTGTGGGTTATAGGTGAGTGAGTGATGGGGCGAGTTATCAGGTGAGAGATGATGTTTGCCAGATCTGGTCATCTGATGGCCTGATGCCGTGCTCCTTCTGAACTTGATGGCGGGAATGGTGAGAGTTGTAGGGTCGGTGAATGTTGTGAATCGTAGGGTGAGGTGAGTGATGGGCAAGTGACTGGGCGCGGGATGGGGCAAATGACTATTAAGCTGATAAGACGTCACAAAAATGTCCCCTGCAGAGGCTTGAGATGGGATGTCTGGTCGTCTGATGGCCTAATGCCATGTCCTTCTGCACCTGATGAGACGAGTGGTGAAAGCGACGGGGCGAGGCCTGCACGTGCGCAGAGAACAGCGACGCAAAGCCCAGGGAGTGTGTGTATATGTGTGCATGCAGGGTGGGGTGGAAAGGGGAAGGACGAGACCTTTTCCCTCAAGCTACTCACCAGAGTGCAGTAGCAGAGGTTGTGCGCCATCATATTCGACGGGTACAGCGATGCAAAGTCAAGATTGCATGTGCGTGTGTCTGTCTGAATGTGGTATGCACGTGACCTTCTCCCTTCAGCCACTAACTCACCAGAGTGCAGTAGCAGAGGTTGTGCGCCATCATAATCAACGGGTACAGATACATTTAGTCAAGAGCGTGCGTGTGTCTGTCTGTGAGAGTATATGTGAGTGTTTCTTCCTTCAATCACTCACTAGAGTGCAGTAGCAGAGGTTGTGTTTTGAGGCGCCTCAAAATGCACCTCACTACACGCGGATTTCATACGGAGAGGATTATTACAGCTTGGAAGTGTGCAAGTAACTTGCAAAAGTTACTGGTGCGCGCGCGGTTACATCAACGAAATGGTTGACGAAGACTTTCTCGAGGGCTGACTCTGCACCCTGGGTGTACCCCATTTGCTTAGTTGGCCGAGTGACATGTCACTCTGGGTAGTCGGCTGTACATTTGTAGATCTCGAGGGCATTTGCTAGCTACTTAGCCTGCTTCTGTCCGGACTCTTTCTTTTTGTGGATCTGAGCTCACTAATGAAGGCTAAGCGGGTATGATCCCCGTAAGCCGAAACATGTTTGTGCTGTAAAGATTCTCTTTAGTGAAAGGGTTTTACGGTTCTACTGATGGTTTTCCAGGAAGGATTTTTTTTTCAGTTTCGTTCCATTTGTTGCTTTAAGCGCTACTCTTTAGAATTGCTGCTCTTCCATTATGAGCATAGATCCTCAGGTACAGATACATTTAGTCAAGAGCGTGCGTGTGTCTGTCTGTGAGAGTATATGTGAGTGTTTCTTCCTTCAATCACTCACTAGAGTGCAGTAGCAGAGGTTGTGGGCCATCATGATTGACGGGTACAGCGACGCAAAGTCAAGAATGTGTGTACGTGTGTGAGGTGTATGTGTGCATGAGACGGGGAAGAAGAGTATGCTGCATGATCTCCATTCAACCACTCGCCAGAGTGCAGTAGCAGAGGTTGTGGGCCATCATAATCGACGGGTACAGCGATGAAAAGTCAAGAGTGCATGTGCGTGTGCGTTTGAGCATGCAAGCATGTGTGTGTGCGTGTGTGTGTGTGTGTGTCTCCCCCAAGCCACTAACTCACCAGAGTGCAGTAGCAGAGGTTATGCGCCATCATAATCGACGGGTACAGCGATGCAAAGTCAAGAGTGGCAACTGGCCGTTCATAGAACCCCTGCTTCGGCTCCAGCACCGTCGCCCCCTCATATGTTGCATCTGCTCCTGCCCCCGCCTGAACCTTCATGTTGGGCACCAGCAACTCTCGCTGCCTCGCCTTGCGTAGGATTTGAGAGAGCACCTGGAGTGTGTGTGTCAGCAGGGAAAAGGGGAAAAGGAGGGCGTTCATAAAACCCCTGCTTTGGCTCCAGCAGCCGTTGGCCCCTCGCAGGTCGCATCTGCCCCTCTCCCTGCCCTGCCACTCAGTGTCCCTCACCCTGCTACTCCCCCACCCTGCAACTTCATGTATACGAGAAACCAGCATCCACTCGGCCTCAAGGGCAAGTCATACAGGCCGGGAGGGCAAGTACGTTGATGCTCTGCCTCCGAGCAAGGAAAAACAAAATGGCACTCCCGTGTCTCTGGCCATCTCAACGTAGTTGTAGACCATCATGAGCTTCTCCAGCAGCCGCTGCGGCAGGTATGCGTCTTTCAAGCAGTACACACTTTAGCCTGTCGGGTACTGGTATGCATACCTTGATAATCTGCCCTCGAGCAAGCAGGAAAGAAATGGGGACGCCGGTAACCCTAGCCATCTCCACATGATTGTAGACCATCCTCAGCTTCTCCAACAGCCGCTGCGGCAGGTATGCATCCTTGAGGCAGCAGACTGTCAGCGTCATGGCAGGGGTGTGGCGTACCTTGATACTCTGCCCTCGAGCAAGCAGGAAGGAGATGGGAACGCCAGTCACACGCGCCATCTCAACGTAGTTGTAGACCATCATGAGCTTCTCCAGCAGCCGCTGCGGCAGGTACGCGTCTTTCAGGCAGTACACGGCCAGGCGGCGTCGCGTTTGGGCATCGCCGTTCTGAAGGTCGGCAATGATGGAGTGATGCACGTCCTCCTTCTGCTCATTACAAGCACATTCGGTACAAGCAGAATGTCACATGGGGTAGGAGAAGCACATGAGTGGCCTTCAGGCGGTCCACGGCCAGGCGGCGGCGCGTCTGGGCGTCGCCGTTTTGAAGGTCGGCAATGATGGAGTGATGCACGTCCTCCTTCTGCGCTTATGGGAGGGGGGACGGGGGGGGAGTTGGGGAGGAGAGGAGCACATTCTGTACAAGGTACGATCACATTCCAGCACATTACGAACACGCACATTCTCGTTCAAGCACAACCGTACAAGCACAGTTGGTTACCTGCTGTGGCGTAAAAAGATCCCAATCTGAATTTCTTCCTCTTGGTTTTGTGCTGAGATCAAGAAGTCACAGAGAGTACCGAAAAACCCAACCTGTTCGTTGAGGAAGTGAGCAGAGACGGAGTTGAGGGAGTAGGAGCTGAGCTTGTGCTCTCTCTGAATGGCCACCAGCAGATCAAATTGCACTCGCCCATCCAGAGTCACCTCCTTGGTTTCCCTTGTGCCGTACTGCCTGGATGAGGACAATGGCACAACAAGGAAAGGGAGGGATTCTCAGTTACTAACAGGGAGGGAATCTCAATACTTACCAGCCGGTCACTCAGATCAGAGTACATGCGACACATGGCATGATCGCAAAATGAACACTCAGATCAGAATATGTTCCCATATTGTAACATAAGGTAAATTACAGTCAGGGTTGCACCTGGATTGAAAGCGAGCATCGCGCATCTTGAGCTGGGTGTTGAGGATCCGACCGAGGAACGGGAAGGTCTTCAGATTCAGCTTCTCTGCCCTCTGCAAGAGGAGAGCAACAGAGGGTCAGCAGTAGCAGTAATAGCAAGACCTCCTTATACATGGTCTCTCCGATACACGGTACAGATCATGTCACTAACTTCCTCGTCACACATCGCATCGACCCTTGTGTAAGCCCACATACCTCAATCAAGTAGGGCAGATCGAACTTCTGAATGTTGTATCCGATGCTAAAAAAATGATTATGTCATCGTCCTTCTTGGTGTGTAAACCCACCCACCTCAATCAAGTAGGGCAGATCAAACTTCTGAATGTTGTATCCGATGATCATGTCGGGGTCTGTTGCCTGGATGAGCTCCTGTGTGGAGAGAAAGAGAGAGGGGTAGAGAGGGGTGGAGGAGGGTTGAGGCGTTTCAGAAGTCAAAATTCTGAATTTTGTACCTGATGATGATGTCAGGGTCTGTTGCCTGGATGAGCTCCTGTATATGTGGAGAGATAATGGGACGAAATGAAGGAGCGGGAGAAAGGTGGAGCAGGAAGGGTGGTGGAGAAGGTGGGGAAAGGGGAAATGCGAGAGAAATGAGATTTCTTGACTACGCAGAGCAGGAGGAATGAAAGATACAAGTTGTGCTCTGGCTACTAAACAGACGCACCTTCCAAGCCAGCAGCAGCTGTTGCTCCGTTTCAAACGCCACCACATCGCACCCCACGATGGGAGCACACGAGCCGAGGGTGAGCACGGTGCGAACGAGCGGGTCGCTGCTGCCCTGCTGGGAAACGATGTTGGCGATCTGAATCACCGGGTCGTGCTGCGGCTCAGGGAAGTGCCCCTTGCGCCCGCTGCATTCGATGTCAAAACTGAGGATGCGAAAAGGGGCCATGCGGGACCACTGCCCCGTGCCTTCGTGGCTGACTAGGTCTGTATAGCTGTTACAGAGAGGCAAAGATGTGGGGGTTGGGGAGCAGGAAAGAAAGGGTTGGCAAGAGGTTGAAGCTGAAGATGCGGATCATATCAGATCACATCACATCAGATCTTACAATACCACATCACACCACTCACAAGATGTCAACCTCCAGCTGGCACGCTGACAGCTTCCGCGCGTCCTCGCGCACGCGGTACGTGCCAGCTGGCAGCGAGATCCAGTTGCCGCCGGTGACGTGGCAGTCGATCATGAAGCGCAGTGCAAAGAGCACATTGCTCTCGTAGGTGGTGGCAGGGAATTGAAACCCGTTCCACTCAAAGCCTTGTTCGAAGTATGCTGAGTGAAGGAACGGGGAGAGGAGAGGGGAGACAGCAGCAAGAGGAGAGGACATCACGATCAGTCAGTAGTGGCAGTCGATCATGAAGCGCAGCGCAAAGAGCACGTTGCTCTCGTAGGTGGTGGCGGGGAAATGGAAGCCGTTCCACTCAAACCCCTGCTCGAAATATGCTGGTTGGAGGAACGGGGAGAGGAGAGAGGAGACGGCGGCAAGAGGACAGCACTGTCAGTCAGTCAGAACTGGCAGTCAATCATGAATTGCACGGTTGTCGTCGCCGCACTCACCTCTGCATGGAGCCACCATAGTGGGCAGAGCGAGTGTGATCTTAAGAAATGTCTTCTTATCGGGGCCTTGATAGTATAGCAGCCCCTGCGCTTTTAACATTTCCACTCTTATCGCCACCACTCCCTTCGCCTGACCCCTTTCCTGCAGTCACATGTACAGTACAGTACAGTACAGTACAGTACAGTACAGTTACACATGGTGTTCTATGAAGGTGCACATCCACACACAATTGGACACATGCAGCAATATGTATGTAAAAATACATATATTAGTACATATACATATATAGATCGATAATACATATGCAGTGTAAGACTTTGCCAAAGATGAAAAGTGCAACCCGGAAATGTCAAAGCGTGTGACTATACCGAGAGTTGTGTGTGGAAGGCTGCAACATCATCGTATGTGAACTGTGACGGTGCCATCACATAGAAGTAGGGCAGAAATCCATGCACCATGGCGCACACACTGTTTCCTGGAAGCATCATGAGCCAGGACACATAAGTGGTGAGACAATGGAGTGAGATAAGAGAAAACGGGAAACACTCTAGCTGTGAAACAAACAAATTATTGATGCGGGATGGGGGATGACCGAGCCAGCAGGGGGAGTAAGGAGAAAAGATAAGATTACAAAATGGGACGGAAAATAAGCCTGAATAGTTGACAGAAAGAGATGAACTGACCATGTTCGTTGACACCAAAGATTCGCAGTACAGCGGAGCTCTTGTAATGAGTTTTGAAGGGTGAGTCGGATGTCAAGTAGTAATCAATGTCAAGCTGCTGAAACACTGAGAGACGGCAGGTGTGGGGGTGTGGGAATGGGATAGAATTTGAGTCGACTTGGATCTTGTAATAAATTTTGAAGGGTGAGTCAGACGTCAATAGTAGCCAATGTCAAGCTGCTGAAACACTGAGAGAAAGCAGGACGAAAGCATGGGAAATGGGTGAACCTCAATAAACTGAGATAATGAACATCGAACCTTATCATGTACCTTGAAATTCGCACATTGATATTCATCATGCTGCCTGACATCCATCATGCACCCTGACATCCATCATGCACCCTGACATCCATCATGCACCCTGACATTCATCATGCACCCTGACATCCATCATGCACCCTGACATTCATCATGCACCCTGACATCCATCATGCACCCTGACATTCATCATGCACCCTGACATTCATCATGCACCCTGACATCCATCATGCACCCTGACATCCATCATGCACCCTGACATTCATCATGCACCCTGACATCCACCATGCACCGCACCCTGACATCCATCATGCACCCTGACATCCATCATGCACCCTGACATCCATCATGCACCCTGACATCCATCATGCACCCTGACATTCATCATGCACCCTGACATTCATCATGCACCCTGACATCCATCATGCACCCTGACATCCATCATGCACCCTGACATTCATCATGCACCCTGACATCCATCATGCACCGCACCCTGACATCCATCATGCACCCTGACATCCATCATGCACCCTGACATGACATCCATCATGCACCCTGACATTCATCATGCACCCTGACATCCATCATGCACCCTGACATTCATCATGCACCCTGACATCCATCATGCACCCTGACATTCATCATGCACCCTGACATCCATCATGCACCGCACCCTGACATCCATCATGCACCCTGACATCCATCATGCACCCTGACATCCATCATGCACCCTGACATCCATCATGCACCCTGACATTCATCATGCACCCTGACATTCATCATGCACCCTGACATCCATCATGCACCCTGACATCCATCATGCACCCTGACATTCATCATGCACCCTGACATTCATCATGCACCCTGACATTCATCATGCACCCTGACATCCATCATGCACCCTGACATCCATCATGCACCCTGACATTCATCATGCACCCTGACATCCATCATGCACCGCACCCTGACATCCATCATGCACCCTGACATCCATCATGCACCCTGACATGACATCCATCATGCACCCTGACATTCATCATGCACCCTGACATCCATCATGCACCCTGACATTCATCATGCACCCTGACATCCATCATGCACCCTGACATTCATCATGCACCCTGACATCCATCATGCACCGCACCCTGACATCCATCATGCACCCTGACATCCATCATGCACCCTGACATTCATCATGCACCCTGACATCCATCATGCACACTGACATCCATCATGCAACCTGACATCCATCATGCTGCCTGACATCCGCACACATCGGCTGTCCGTATGTCAGTGAATTCACACGGCTCTGGATCGCTCGCATCAGCACACGGCGTCATGACTAGCTTTCTCACCGTGCTTCACCGTACTTCACCATGTTCCCAGATTTTTAATGCACGCCTGTCAAATTCCCGCTACACTTATCAACGCTGGCCTTCTCACCTATATCCGTTTTTCTAGGGTCGAATTCCGCCACCGGCTGCCGCCGCCACTTAGCTAAAAGCGGCTGCAGCCTACCCATCTGTCCCACCCGCCGAGCCTCCTCCTTCGCCGCCTGCTCCGCCCTCCGAATCAAATCTGTCGCGTCCTCCGCCATCATGATCATCATCGCCTCGTCCTCATCCATATCCCCTCCTCCCGCGTCGCCGCCGACAGCCATGGCTTCTTCGACCTCCTCCTCTTCCTCCTCCGTCCCTACCGCCATCGCCTCGCCTTCCTCCTCGTCGCGTCGCGACGCGGGAATTCCGCTTCCGCCGCCGCCGCGGGCGGGAAACGGCCGTTTTGACGAGGCTATCTGAGCGGGAGGGCCTCGCGGCCGCTTGCTTGAGTCCATCACCAATGATCGTAGATAGTACTACTATCGACGACTAAGGTCTTGTTGGAAAATTGTAGCTGGCGATAGACGCAACGAACTTGAATAAGTCGGGGATTGAAAGCGTTCTAAACTGGTATTAACTAGGTCACGAGAGCGGCAGTCAACGTCTTGCCGGGATATCAATCACTTGTCAGAGGAAGCACAGGAGCTGGATGCAGTTTTGGGTTCCGATTTTGAATTTTGAATTTCAACCTCCTGTGTGCGATGCAACCCCGATAGAAGCAGGACAGCCTCGGGGTGGAGAGACTAGTTCGAATATGGCGATAACAAGCAGATTTTTCTGCATTAGGCGGATCTACACTACACCGCAAATGAAATTGAAAGGACTTTGTCAACAAACCTGGCAGCACCCGAGCCAGCCAAATGGCTTCACTCTCTACCAGCCTTGAAATCTCCGCACCGCAAACTGCACTACCGAACCTACGAAAGAAAGAAAGGTGGTAGGAAAACATTTCCTGCCCGCCCCTTCAGCCACTTCAGCACCACCTCCCTTCTCCCTTCACCTAGAAAGCTCATCAATTCACTTAGCGCTTCTTGGTTTCATAACTGAATCCTAGGAGCTCCCATACTCTCCTACATAGTCTTTATGCAGTAAAGCTATTCAATTTGCAGGGGTAGATAGACCTGAGTTTAAACAGGTATATCTAGCTCATAAATTTAATTTTCCAGAGCCCAAAAAACGGTGTGGTGTACTTTAGTTGGTCACCGTCGTGGTACATCTGGTGGCGGTTCAAACTGGAGGTCGTAACTCTACGAACCACGTCTTAACCTCATATGGACGCGCTCGAGGATCTCAAGGGTCCCGCCTTCTGAGGCGCTTAGAAAGCCGTCTGTGAAACGCGCCTTTAGCTCTTATGGACGTGCTCGACAATCTCAAGGGTCGCGCTAGAAAAGCGGGAGAGCAGCTTTCGCGGTTGCTCTCCCCCGGCGTTTCAGCCTCTGCTGACCACCCAGCCGCGGAGAATGACAACCAGTGCGCTGGCCCAAATCCTACTACGGGGAGCCGCGCTAGTAGCAGAAGAAGCGGAAGTAACGGCGCAAATGACGCAGCAGCAGCAGGAGCAGCAGCGGGCGCTGTTAGGAATATCCGTTCGCGGAAAAAAGGGTCTGGACGGCGTTTGAGTAAGGACGGGACGTATAAAAAAGGTCCAGGTGCAAATCAGTCAGGGAGGCAGGAGAAGCAAAAAGCTCCTGTGGATGATGACTCATGGCAACGGGAAGTGGCGGAAATGGGTTCGTTCAAAGCGTTAGCTTCAAAACTCCTACCTCAAGAACCGTCACACGGTTCTCGAAATTCGCGTTCAACATCGTCGACGTCGTCGCCAGCGTCGTCGCCGTCGCTATTGTCGTCGCCGTCGCCATCGTCGTCGTCGTCAGCTCACTCGCCGTCGGAATCTCCGTTGCTGGCTTCTTCGTCCCCATCCCCCCCTTCTCCGCCTCTCAATTCTCGTCTATTCCCACCGCGCTCCGCGTCATTCCCCCCTCTCCTTCCGCCAGCCCATTCCAAGGCTCCTTCCCCCGCAATCCCGCCGCGTTCCGCCTCTCCGCGGGGAAATTCTCCCCCTCCCGAAGAGAGATCTTCCCCGGCGTCTCCCGCGGTAATTAGGTCTTTATTTGAAGCGCCGCAGAAGTCGTTTCCCGGGCGGGAGCTGGTTCGCGGGCAGCCGTCGCGGCACAGCCTGTTGCATAGACTAGCGTCTAGGGTTTCGCGTCCAGAGGGGGGCTCTGAGGGAGCGGACGGGGAGGAGAACGAGGCAATTCCGAGGTGGGACGGCGGGTGGGAGCGACGGCACGGCAGCTCTGCCGGCTGGGCGGCAGCGGACGGCAGCTCTGACGGAGGACGCGGAATTCGTGTCAAGTCGGAAAGAGAGAGCTCGCCATTGGTGGAGGTGGATTCGGCCAATGAGAGGGTTCAGATTTTGGTGCTGAGAGGTCCGGAGGGAGGGGTGATAGGCTCGGGAGGGGATGCGAGAGGAAAGAAGGGAGCAGCGTCAGAGCAGAGGAGAAGAGATGGGGGAAGGGGAAGGGTTGGTGGAGATGGTGGGGGTGGTGAAGAGACGCTGATTCAGCAATGGCGGAGGCTTCGGCAGAAGCAGCCTGCACAGCAGCAAGTGCCCGAGCAGCAGCAGGCGCGGTTCCATAGTGCGCAAAATAGGAGGGGTTTTGAGGAGGAAAAAGGGGTTGTTACTGTAAATAAGCGTTTATCTCCTGTGGGCGGGCCTGTTGAAGCTGGGTTGGAAAGTGAGGATACAGATGGCCTAGGGCTCTTGCAGAAGTGTATCAGGCAGGTCTCGAGCCTATTACCGAATCAGGACTGTAACGAGTACGGGGATTCCAGGCCCACTAGGGAGCTCGCGGTGTCATCTAGAACCCGTTTTAGAGATTCTCTTAGCGAGAACAGAACGACAGAGGTTCTGGAAGAGGCTGGGATGGGTCGTACCCCCAGTAAACTGGGGATATTTCGCAGGTTGCCCATTGGCCTGGGGAGGTGGAGAGAGGGGGCAAGTGCGGAGGAAGTGCAGGAGGGGATGGGCACAGCGGAAAGACTATGGGGCAGAGGAGCAGAGGCGGAATCAGGGGAAGGGAATGGGTTAGGGATGGGCATAGGCGGGCTGAATACCCAGTTCGGACGATCTACAGCCTCGTTCGCGAGAAGAAGAGCAGGAGGAGGAGCAGGAGGAGGAGGCGGAGGAGGATTTGGAGTAGGAGGGGGATTTGGATCAGGAGGAGCAGGAGGAGCGGGGTTAGGAGCAGGGGCAGGGGGGAGGATATCGGTCACGCAGCTGCGTCAGATGGTAGAGGCCAATCCCGAGGCGTTTCTGCGAGCCTTTGACCACGTGGCGAAACGAGTTGAGGCCGCGCGCAAGAGACGCACGGTTACGGTTACCAGCAAGTACAACTCGCGGACGGACATCCTCCGATCGGCACTCTCGTTAGACATCCCGTCGCTCTCCCCCTTCCCGTTCCCGCTCCCGTCCCTCCCTCACCTTCCATTCTTCTCGTCCCCTTCTCCCAACTCCTCCTCCTCGTCCCCCTCCTCCTCCTCTCCCCCCTCTTCGACTTCCTCCTCCCCTCCTTCCTCCCGGCCCTCCTTCCCTCTCCGCATTAGAGCAGTGGCGGAGGGTCGACCCTCCGCGCCCTTCACCCGCTTCTCCATCGCCCCGGAAATCGGCCCCTTACGCTTGAGATGGGACCGGCCGCGCCTGGTCCCCTCCTTTGGAGCCACCCTGCATTCGGGCGACAACTCCCTCGTGCAAATCTTCCATGACCTTCAGGTGCGTGCGTTGGCTGCTTACCAGGTGTTGTTAAGCAGAGGGGCGACCCTCTGCGCCCGTCACCCGCTCCATCGCTTCTGCATTCCGGGGACAACTCCCTCGTGCAAATCTTCCCACGACCTTCAGGTATGTATGTTGGCAAATGCCCATGTGTTTCAAAGCAGAGGGTCGGCCCTCCGCACCCTTCACCCGCTTCTCCATTGCTCCAGAAATTGGTCCTCTCCGTTTTAAGATGGGACCGGCCCCGTTTGGTCCCTTCCTTTGGATCTACTCTGCATTCCGGGGACAACTCCCTCGTGCAGATCTTCCATGACCTTCAGGTGTGTTGACATGTTGTTGGGGTGATGCACTTCAGGTGTGTCGGTTTTCTTAACTACCTTCGTTTGGTTCCTTTGGACAACTCCCTCGTGCAGATCTTCCATGACCTTCAGGTGTGTCGGTTTTCTTAACTACCTTAGGCACCATGGAAATCGGCCCTCTCCGCCTGAGATGGGACTGGTCCCGCCTCGTCCCCTCCTTCGGAACCACCCTGCATTCTGGCGACAACTCTCTCGTGCAAATCTTCCATGACCTCCAGGTGTGCTGACATGTTGTTGTGGTGATGCACTTCTTGCCTGGTCCTTTCTGACGCGCCGAGAAAAACCATTTTCTTCCCTTCCCCCCCATCCATCCATGCCAGGAGCAGCCCAGCCATCGCACAGCGCTCATGGTGGGATGGTGGGCTCGCTCCATGGCCTACCGATGGCCCACCAGGTTGAAAGTGCCTCAATATTCATCTGCTCCCCCTTCCCTCCCTTCCCTCCATACCAGGAGCGCCCCAGCCATCGTACGGCGCCCATGGTGGGATGGTGGGCTCGCTCCATGGCCTACCGATGGCCCACCAGGTTGAAAGTGCCTCAATATTCATCTGCTCCCCCTTCCCTCCCTTCCCTCCATACCAGGAGCGCCCCAGCCATCGTACGGCGCCCATGGTGGGATGGTGGGCTCGCTCCATGGCCTACCGATGGCCCACCAGGTTGAAAGAGCCTCACTATTCATCTGCTCCCCCTTCCCTCCCGTTCTAACAGGAACGGCCCAGCCATCGCACGGCGCTCATGGTGGGGTGGTAGGTTCGATCCATAACCTTTATAACTTTGTTGGCCTGAAACTATTAGAATGGACCTGACTGATTGAAATCTATCCCTCCCTTCCCCTCATGTCCATGCCAGGAGCGGCCCAGCCATCGCACGGCGCTCATGGTGGGATGGTGGGCTCGTTCCCTGGCCTACCGATTTGGGTTCTGAGATGCCTTAATATTTGTATGCTCTGATTCCCTCCCTCCCATCCATGCCAGGAGCGCCCCAGCCATCGCACTGCGCTCATGGTGGGATGGTGGGCTCGATCCATGGCCTATCGGGCACTCCTCTCCCTCAAGCTGCCCGCCTGCCATGTGGTATGTGCTCGTATGTAGTATCCACGTTGTTCTTACTCTGATGTGTTATGCTCCATCCATGGCCTATCGGGCCCTCCTCTCCCTCAAGCTGCCCGCCTGCCATGTGGTATGTGCTCGTATGTAGTATCCACGTTGTTCTTACTCTGATGTGTTATGCTCCATCCATGGCCTATCGGGCCCTCCTCTCCCTCAAGCTACCCACTTGCCACGTGGTATGTTCCCGTCTCTTCCTGTCCCCTTCGCCCCAGCCACTGTCTACTGCTTCCATGTTCCCTTGTAATCTCTACCCATCTTTCCACATCCCCTCTGTCAGGGCATGCTGTGGGTTGACTTCCCCCGGGGGCGAGTTCCTGTTGAACCGGGTCAAGGGAGTCAATGCGAGTATCTTCCTTATTTCACTCTCCCTTCCCCTCAACTTACTATATTTCTCATCCTGTCAGGACATGCTGTGGGTTGACTTCCCCAGGGGCGAGTTCCTGATGAACCGAGTCAACGGAGTCAAGGCCAGTCTCTTCCTGCCATGCCACCCGCTGAGAGGAGTGCTGCAGGTGGAAGGGCGGACAGCAGACACGGCCACTGTGGGGTTTGCTTATCAGGTAGGAATTGTTATTGTTTCTACCAGTTGGGGGATTGAACGGGAGGGGAGTGGTGGTACTTACTCTGTAAGGCGTGCTGCAGGTGGAAGGGCGGACAGCAGACACGGCCACTGTGGGGTTTGCTTATCAGGTGAGGTGGGGGCCTGGAGCAGGGTAGGGAGGGAGGTGAGTGGCTGTTGCTCTGTAAGGCGTGCTGCAGGTGGAAGGGCGGACAGCAGACACGGCCAACGTGGGGTTTGCATACCAGGTGGGGTGGGATGGGAGGGGAATGAGTGCACTTGCTTTTCTAGGGGAGAGTACTGGCAGGAAATATTTGTCTACTGTGTGATAAGAGACGCCCGCACGGGTGATAAGTTCTTGGAATATTGTGTGTGTCCACTGTGTGCGTGTGTGACGCCCGCACTCTTCCTTGCCTTCCCTTCTCGCTCTCCTTCCCTTAGCTTCTCTCTCCTTTCCTTCCCTCGCCTTCCCTTCTCACTCTCCCCAGCACCCCTTGGGAACGCGTGTGACGCCCTCATATTCTCTCGCCGATCGGGGACTGTCAGTGGAGGTGCTTCAGCCAATCACAGTGCGCCAGCTGGGACCCGCTGTCAAGCCAGAAGCTCAAATACGGTATGGCTAGGAGCACACCAGCTTTGATGCATCAGTTAGTCTTAGAAGCAGCTTGTTAGTTATTGTGCATCAACAGTAGAACATAAACTGTGTGTCATTAGTGGGGGTTCATCTTTCATTTCTTTCGCACCTGTCTTGTTCTCATGTTTTTCGACTTGTTTTTGTAGTGGTTGTTTTGTCACTACTTGTTTGTCATCTTTGTGTTCACCTCTTTCCGTTTTACAATTTGCGGTCTCTCCTCTCAGGTTCAAAACCACAATGTCAGGCACGAGGCAAGGGTGGGAGATGGAGACCACACGGTTTCTGGGAACAAACGAGATAGTGGGGGGAGCAGCAGAGGCGTCTCAAGGCGGGCTGGCAGTCAGTGTGGGGTACAAGGCGGGGGTGGCACCTGTTGCCTTCTTTACTCTCTTCGTAAGCACTTTGAACCTCCTCTTGTTCGCTGGCCTTTTTTTACACGGTTTCTGCTGGGAACAAATGAGATAATGGGGGGAGCAGCAGAGGCGTCTCAAGGCGGGCTGGCAGTCAGTGTGGGGTACAAGGCCGGGGTCGCAATGTTGCCTTCTTCACCCTCTTTGTAAACACGTCACCTTTTACTCCTCATAAGCACCTAACAATTCCCTCTTCACAAGCACGTCACATCCTCGTAAGCGCATTTCAAGGCAGACTGGCCGCTGTGGCCCCTGTTGCCTTCTTCACCCTCTTTGTAAGCCCATCGCTCCCTTGTTATACCGGTATGTTTGACTCTCAAGAAATATCCAGTCCATTTCTTCACAATTAGCGTTTTGCATTTTACGAAATGTTTTTCCCTTTTCTCCCCCCCTCCCCCCCCCACCCCCCCCCCCCCCCCCCCCTTTTTTTTACTATCTCTCTGTCCTGGCATGGCAGGGAGGGGGTCGCAGGAGGCGGAAAACAGCAGTGACAGGCAAGGGAGCTGGTTACCAGCTGAGGCTGGAATTTCCGCCGTCCAATCTCAGACGAGCAGTCATCTCATGGGATGCCACCCATGGAATAGATTTCTAGTGTCAATACCTCGGAAAATAACAGCAGTGACGGGCAATGGAGCTGATTACCAGCAGCTTGACATCAAAATCAGGTGTGGTTCTGTTCTGGTGGTACGGTAGTATCCAGTCCAGGTATATCTGCCCACCTAGCACCTGCACGTTGTTATGAAGCATGCCCGAGGGCCTCAGATTCGTTTTGGCCTAGGCTGAAAAATCAGAGTTGGTACAAAACGTTTTGCTGAAAATCAGAGAAATCAGCCATTTTATGCCATTTTACACTACAAATCTATTAAAAATTCTTGTTTCTCTTCAACAAATTGCTGAAATATCAGCTTCAGTTCTAAAAAAGTTCTGAAATCTCAGCCTTTTTTACCTAAATCAGCCTTTTTTCGCTGACTTCTGAGGCCCTGATGCCCGACACAAATCTGCTCGTGTGGGTCCTTCCAAACTAATGCACAGTAGTTGGAAAGGCTTGTAACATAGTATCATGCATTATATTACTATGTCTAAAACATGGTACACGAGGATGCAGCATCTGCTTGAAACAGCCCTTTAAAAACACCAACTGGTGGTCGCACATTTGCACGTTTTCACCTTTGTCTTGAAAAACAACTAAACATGTGCATGCTTTACATCAGATATCGGCACCAACTTATCATGTTACCAGGTGCATGCATCGGTTCATATCAGACTCCAAAGAGGGGACGCACGCAGGGGGCTTCATGGGTGGAGGGATGAGGGATGAGTGCAGGGGGATGGGATGAGTGCAATGAGGAAAATGAAATTCACTGGGCAAAGGAGGGAGTAGCGCAGAGAGGAGGGTGAGCATAGATAGAGGAAATGAGGAATGGGCACAGGGGGGTGAGGGGAACGAAGGGTGAGTGCTGCAGGAGGATGAGGGATGAGGGCAGGAGAGGGTGAGGGAATGGGGAATGGATGAGCGGAGGGGGAAAGGGTGGGGATGGGAAAGGGATGGGCTCAGGTAAAAAGGGTGGGCACCGGGGGTATGCAGGAGCACAGAGGGAATGAGGGATAAACACAAGGGGAATAAGGGGTGAGCGCAGGCGGGAGGAGAGGGATGCGAGGTAATCCGCAGGGGGGTGAGGAATAACGGTGGGGGAACGAAAGGTGAGCGCAGGGGGGGGAGGTATCAGCGCTGAGTGAATACGGAGGAGCGCAGGGGGGCGAGGGGTGAGCGAAATGGGAAATGTGGTGAGGGCGAGTGACGGGGAGATGGGACGAGCGGAGGCAAGACGGAGTGAGGAGACAAGATTGCTGCCATGCAATGGCGAAAGGAGAGAGAGTAGGCGCAAGGACGGGGGGAGGGGGAGGGGAGGGGGCGGAAAGGGGGCGGGAAAGGGGCGGGAAGGGGGCGGGAAGGGGAACGGAGATTTTCGAAAATTCTCAGAACTCGCATCCGTGCTTCACTTCACGATGCCTCTGATTATAAAGTTCAGCAGTGTTACCGTCCATCGAAGAGCGCGTCAGCGGCGTCTAATAAGAAGACATTGAAGCCCGCGTCAGCAGCTGACGCGCTTCACACGGACATGGCGTTTCTCAGGGTAGCTGTAAAAGGGACGATACCGTCAGATCTACTTACGACGCGAAAATCAATCTTAAAACGGAAGTACAGATTTGCGTGACCGCTTTAGCATGAGCTCAACGAGCGGGATTTCGCCCTCCGTCTCAAGTCCCTTCGCGAAGTAATGATATTGCGAGATAGACTTGTCGTTCCTACCTTCGAGAATAGTACGCATCTGAAACGTACTGCCACCCTCAGCCACGGAACGTGCAAGGGTCGTCGGATCTGAACTGGAATCAACCTTGACGGCACCAGAAGCAAGTGCGAGTCATTCGAGAGACTAATCTAGGTTCTAAGGGCGAAGTCACCAAATTGTCAGAACTGAGGCAGGAAGCGAGAAGAGCAGCAACGTTGATAATACCGAGTGGGTAGCTGGTATACCAAACTGGACCCCGTTACAGTGACTTTCTATTTACCCTCGTTGTTCCGATTCCCCTGGTTTTATTACTGTTCCCCTGTGTTCTCATTTTTCTTTCGAGTTTGATTCCCAGCTTTCCTTCCTCTCTCGGTTCTTTGGTCCCTCGATTTCCCATTGCAATTGGTCTTTGAAGAGTTTTCCATCCAGCCAGTTCCATTTCAGCTGCCCAAACTTGGCAGGAATTTTTTTTTCAATTTCCTGCTTCATGCTTTTGCCGTCCCGTAACTGACGCAATAATCTGTCCATACTGCTACTTAAAGCGACGGGCAACTTTTGGCAGTGTTGGGTTCAGAAGTTTTTTTTTTTGAACCAGGCTTGCCAGCGCGAAAGTGCTGGCTGGCGAAAACCAGGATTTCGTGCGGACACTTTTCATCCGCAGTAACAGTTCGCCAGGGTTCTGGGTTTTGGGTGGCAAATGTGCACCGTCGCTTTAACCTGCCCGTTACTCGGAGCCCCCTCGAGGGCTGGCCCAATCTTATGAGCAAAGCCACATGCAATACAATGAGTCCAAAATACGCACGAAAGGGTTCAACAAAAGCCATAAATGTCAACACGGAGCAGCTACAAACGGGTATCCACGCCCCAATTGTTCATCGCGCCAATCCTTCTGAACCCCACTCCCTGTCCAACCAATTTTCGCCGACATGTAAAGTGCCAATCAACGGCTGTCAGCGGAGGGCTCACTCTTCAATCCAAGTCGTTCACATTTGCGGCGCAATCTACCACCCTCGATTCACCACTCTCAAAATCGACCGCGAATCGCAAGGCAGCACCACACCTCTCGTCGAGGCACATTCAAAAACTCTCGCTCAATACATCACCCCATTCATTCTGACTCCTCTGGACGCCTAACGTTGCTGAGCTGGTGATTTTGGCGTCTCGCACGGCCATCGGCGGACGGCATGAGATTACATTGACGCCGTTCAAAAATTAGCGGCGGCGTTTTACCACCCTCGATTCCAAATCCCCATAACTTCAGAATTATTGACCGCGATTCGCACAGACGCACATGCCTCTCAAGGTAAATTCACAAATTCTCCCACGAGTACATCAACCCGGTCATCCAGACTCCGCCCGACGCCAAAGAATGCTGAGCTGATGATCTTGGCGGTCCCGCATGGCGGTGGACGACACGAGATTGCATCGAGGCCGTTCATATTTAGCGGCGGCATTGGCTACCTTCGATTCCCGCACCTTATCCTCACCAGAGATTTCTGTATGATCGACCGCGATTCGCACAGGCAGCACCATCACACCTCTCGAGGCGCATTCCCAAAAGTTGATCCCATCATATCACTTCAGTCGTTCTGACTCCTCCAGACGCAAGAAGATGCTTTTTGCGGTCTATCAAGGTCGTCGGCGAACAGCAGGAGATTGCATCGAGGCCGTTTAGAATTAGCGGCGTCAATCTGCCACCCTCGATTCCCGATCCCCATCCTTACCAGAGATTCCATCCCAATGATTCGCGCACACGGCACCACCTCTCACAGCTAAACCTTCTCCCGTCAATTAGCTAAAGTAACCACTAAATATCCATTCCAACTTCATTCAGTCAGAAAACTCATTATCGTCGACGATATTTTCTTTTGAGGAGCACCGGAAAGCCCGAGTCAGCCAAAGGCATGCAGCAGAGCGTGTGTGCGCTCGCAGCGTCGCAGCGTCGCGCGTAGGTTCGCAGCATAGTCGCGCAGCATCGCAGCATAGGCTCGCAGCGCAGAGTCGCAGCATAGGCTAGCAGCGCACGCTTTGCTACATGCTTCTGGCTGATTCGTGTGCCTCGATGGTGCTCCTCTCATCGGCTCCCTTTTCCGAACGTGTCTACTAGCCTCAACTTGAGTAGATCGGAACGCTGCGTAACTTGAAGACAGTCCAAGACCGCTGTTATTTTGAAGACATTTGAAGATATTTTTCACTTGAAGAATTCAACGCGCCGCGAGCTTCCAGGATAAGGATTTCGTGCTTTACTTTTTTTTTTTTTCTATCGGCGGGCCTTATGATAACCGTTTCTATCATTTTCAGATCGTAAGCTCGTCTTCAACTCAAGCTCCAGCGCCGCGAGGACTTCAGAAGACTTGGAGGCTTCACAAGACCAGACGGCGCCGCGACAACATCATCGCGTCACGATCTGCACATCATCGCGGCAAGGGTGAGTTTCTCTACCTATGTCGTTTTGTCGCGCTTTGTCGTGCTATTCTTGTCTTTGTTCTTCCTGTTCTTTCTGTTCGTGCTTTCATCTTGTTTTATTCTTGTTTTCATCTTGTTTTCATCAGTTTTACTAACGTTTTTTTCGTGTTTCAGTGCACAGGTTTCGTGGAGGGGAGGCCGCTGGAGCTATCAATTTTTCCCTTCTGTCTCTCTCTCTGTTTTGTCTCCTCAGGCCGAGGAGGAGCACAACGGACGGGAGGTCGTGGCTAACCAAGGGTGAGTTTTTCTAACTATGTCATTTTTGTCCCGCTTTCTCGTGCTTTTCTTGTCATTGTTTTTCCTGTTCTTTTTGTTCTTGTTTTTATCTTGTTTTCATCAGTTTTACTAACGTTCTTTCGTGTTTTAGTGTGCAGGTTTCGTGGAGGGGAGGCCGCTCGAGCTATCACTCTTTCCCTTCTGTCTCTCTCTCTGTCGTGCCTACTCAGGCCAGCACAACGGACGGGAGGTCGTGGCTGGAGGAACGAAACCAAGGATGAGATTCTCTACCTATGTCGTTTTTGTCGCGCTTTGTCGTGCTTTTCTTGTCATTGTTTTTCCTGTTCTTTCTGTTCTTGTTTTTATCTTGTTTTCATCAGTTTTACTAACGTTCTTTCGTGTTTTAGCGTGCAGGTTTCGTGGAGGGGTGGCCGCTGGAGATATCACTCTTTCCCTTCTGTCTCTCTCTCTCTGTCATGTCTACTCAGGCCGAGAAGGAGCACAACGGACGGGAGGTCGTGGCTGGAGGAGCGAAACCAAGGGTGAGTTTTTCTACCTATGTCGTTTTTGTCGCGTTTTGTCGTGCTTTTCTTGTCATTGTTTTTCCTGTTCTTTCTGT